TCATCAACTCTACAGAAAGGCGGTGCATCCACTCTGTCCAATCTTCCCTTGTGCTCGCGGAGGACACGTCCCACGCTTGCTTCAAATGCTGTTGGTTTACAGTCAATTTAGCCGCTTCCGCAGGCACGGAGATTTCTGCAGCCTTGGATTCGCTGAAGGGACATCAGAACTAACATCATGAAGTTACCCAAAGAGACGCACAGCAAGTCATGAGTGCCTGGCTCCTGTGGAAGACGTTCCCCATTCAGGAGCTTCGATATCAAATTCTCATACCTGGGATGAGGTATACGATTCCGGAGCAGGCACTATCTTGCTGTCAATAATCCAAAAAGGAGGAATAAATGAATAATACACACCTTGTTGATAGTGGGCACGAAAATAGCAAAATCAGATCCGAGTTGGACAACTAGTGCGCACAGGGTGTCCATCACCGCCTGTCGAAGCTCGTTGTTGTTACCCTCTAGCACACGGATCAAGGGGTGAACGATGCGAGAAGCGTGGTCAGAGAAATTGACGCGGAGGGATAGATGAGCTATAGTCTGTATTGCTTTCTTGCGGAGCAGAGTGGTAGCATCAGGTCGTTCAGCGGATTTGACAATAACGGGGATCACGAGGTGAAGGTACTCCTCGATATTTGCCCCGAATGTGAGGAAAGAATCAAAAATCTTAATCTGAGTAGTCATTTTCTTCTCGAGGTCTCCTTCGAAAACTTTCAGAAGATGAGGCAGAATAGTTGGCAGAAAAGGTTTGAACTCGGCGTCTAAAGCCTTCCCCAGCGCCTCAATCAACGATACTATGGGAAGTTGAAGGGAGGCGTTCTCCCAAAGCTCCGTCACAAGGCTAAAAACCTCTGGCATATAATTGCGGATGTGTTGCTTAATTATCCCGACTAGAATAGCCAATTGCTGCAGGTGAAATTCTTGCAAACGGGCTGTGGAGGTGCGAGCCACAGCAGTAAAGGCAGGAATGATCTTTCGAAACATTTGAGTTAGTCCGACGTTTGGTCATGCAGCAGCAAGAGAACTGACGCACCTGCGGTAGGAAGGCCACACATTTCAACCCTTGCGTCCTGAAAATGTTCATAATCGCTTCGATGACGGTGTGGTGGTGATTACTAAGTGACTGATCCTTCAAAACAGCCAGAAGAGAGGTGATCACAACGGTCTGGTAGTAGTCGTCGCTACCCGTCAATGACCCTGTTTGAGAAATGGCGACAGCATTGACAGCAGGAAGTGGTGTTTCATTCGTGACTTCCTCATCCGGTCTCGCCTAAGGATATGTCGGTAAATTAAAGCGAAGAGGTGCATATCAGACAAACCTTTCGCCTATATGGATCCAGAGCTCCAAGGATGCCGAGAACTTTGACGACTTCTCTTACGACCTCGCGGCGTGCATGCGGAGCGGATTCGCTTCTCAGAATGCGTCCCAAGATTGGAAGTAACTGAGGATAGTCTACCAAAGGTGTTATGACATATCCGGTGCTAGAACACAACTGGCCAAGAGTGTGGAGAGCAGCATCACGCTTGACATGAGCCGGGTCGGAGAGTCTAGAGATGATGACTTGCATGAGCTCCGGAATATGAGGAGCCACATCTTCCCCGCCAACAGCTGCCAGTTCCCCGAGACACATGAGAACATTTGCAGCTACAGCCGGGTTACTATCATTCGCCTTCTGCAGTAGGACACGGAGCATAGGGAGTGCATACGGCTTTATGAGACGTTGAGTCGCGCCCACCAAGAGAGTGAGAAGACGGGTGCAGTCTTCACGATTTCGCCTGTAAAAATGTTCATGACTTGATCTAGGTCAAGGGATAAATGGACGCACATTACAGTTGAGTATTCTAACTCTGTCAATAGTTGTATCAGAGCCTTGCGCAAGGACGGCATGACGTAAGCAGGGTTATGCTTGGCAAGACGTCCAATCAAAGTGACAGTAGTAACACGATTCTCGAAGACCTCATCATTCAGGGCGATAAAGATTGACCTGACATTCTCCGCTTGCGCCAAGTGCTTATCAAACCTTTCATGAAGGGAGGACAGAACAGTTTGCCGAATGGTAGGGTCTTCAAGTAATATCGATTATGTTAGGTAGTCTGTAGGGGAACAAATGAACTCACCTGGGTCTGCAATGCCTACTGTGAGCAATTTGTCGAGAACGTCACTGATTATTTCAATCGCATGACTACTCGCTTGGTAGCAAATTGGGTCCCTGACGAACAATCTGCAACAAGTGAGAGCACCAGCACGTCGAACCTCTGCATTGTCGTCTTCCAGATAAGGAAGCGCGGCATTGCGGACAAACTCGTTCAAGATGTGACCTGCTCATGTTGAGTACACTATATTGAATAGCAACAGGTAGCTTACCGCTGAAGTCAAAGGTACCAAGCGTGGACAACGCAAGTGTGATGAGCTCAGGGCTCTTACCGCTCCTAGTGGTCTTCGCGAGTCGTGCTTAGTATGATCGACAGAAGCGTTGAAGAACTTACCTGAGATGAGCTCAAGTCTCTCGTAAACGCAGAGACGTCAGTCCTAACAAGGGAAGGTGGGGCTCCGATGGCTTTATAAGGTTGTCCACATAAGATCATGGAAAGTAGATCCAGTAGACGGTCTGAGTATGTGTTTGTTTTAATAAGAATGACATGTGCAGTGTTGACTGACGCACCTTGAATAGTCTTTAGCAAAGGAGGGATATTACGTGCAATAGCCATCAGCGCCTGTCTAAGAGGCTCACTCAGGCCGCACGCAAAGAATAAATCAAGTTGATCGTGAAGAAGCTTGGTGAGGTTTGGACCAACAGCCGAAGCAAGCATTCCGACGCATTGGAAAATAGGTTCTTCAGAAGGAGCATTCTTCTTTCTGTAGAAAGAGTTCTGATGACTGCATACAATAGTCTATATAAGACGTACCCTCTGGCTTGCAGACCAAGCTTAATTTGAGCCATGATAGAATCGAGGAAAGGTTTCATATCACTTCCTACGGCAGTGGCAGTATGACCGATGGCGATGAATGCTGACAAAACAAATCAATATGTAGCATTTTGACTGACAAGGGGATGCAAACCAAAGGACCTCTCGTTTGGCTTTTCCAGCTGAGTTAGTAGATGTCCCATAGATTTGTGCAGGTGATGTTCCGAGAAAACTTGCGTTTCGTAGGCAGCGAGAGTCGGGATTAGGGTGATGACCATCTTGCGAACGAGACCGTCTCGATGTGATTTGAAGCGAAGAATTTGTTCCGCAGTATCCAAAAACGATTCTCTCATAAACTGAAGACAAATATCATTCAAATGCGATGACGGTGCTGAAAACACTTGCCATATCGCCATGCAACAACAGTTCTCGGTATGTGAGAAGAGACCCATGAATGACTTCAGGTTGTGACATTTTGAGTCCCAGTTGCGCGTCCTGAAGAATCTTCATGAGGTAAGTCGTACGTGTTTGCCGTTCACGTGTTGTAACAATCTCAAGGCATGCAGCAAGAAGCTCTGCCGCTCCCTCCCTGACAATATTTCGAGAGTCCCGAAGAGGTATGAGTATCTTGTCAAATACGAGGCTGATGTGGGAATGGAAATATATCGCACTGTTGCGTGCGAGCTCCTTCAGGATAAGCACTCCGGCATAGCGGGGAGACTCCTGCTTGTCACCCTGTAACAGTTCCACTGCAGCTGGAACCTCTAAATCCATAAAGCGTTCTCCGAAGTCGGCGCCGCCAATTGCAGCAATTTGGCCTAGTGTTTTGGATGCTGCCAGCATGATGTTGACATCGTGATTTGGCAGTAGCTGCTTGACGTAGTTGTAAAACCGAAAGAGGTACTTCTTTGAACCAATGGTGTCCTCCCCTTCACTTTCAAGGAGGTGATCTAAGTGGCATGAGCTATACGACAATGGTACCATGACGTTTAGACGCACCTATGGCCAGAAGTCCGCCTAATCTATCTACATTATTCTGACTATGCATAAGGTCGAACAAGCGTTTGTTGATGTCATCATCCCAAAGTTTTGCTACAGCATCAGATGGCATCTCTGCGACAGTCATTGCAACCTGCTGAACGATGAGAAGTGACTCGCACGCATGAATGATGAACGCACATAGCGACGCAACTCTGTTGCAGCTTGCAATCGAGCATCGTGGGCAGGGCTGCGCAGGCCTTGGAAGATCTGCCCGAGGTGATCCGTGTGGGCATACTGAGTTACGGACGTCATACTTGTCGTCGCCAGCGTCCTAAATGTTCTACTGCTGCACCTGCAGTCCGACTACAGGATCGCAACACGCTGTGGACACTTGAAGAGGGAAGACTATTTACGGCAAACCTAGAACCTGATCCGTCCTGTTTACGTCTATTGAATTCTAAAGATTGTCACACATAGACTTAGCGATCAACGTTACATTCTTGATTCTTGACCATGGTAACGCGTATCGGAGGAACGGTTGGTTTCATTCGTCTATGGTGCCTAATTCTTGAAACGTAAAGAGACTTTAGTACTTCAGCTTCAAAGTTCAGCTATATATTCGATAGCTGAGTACTTTAATTGCCAATATTCACGAAAGCTGGCCCATCCACCATCGATGCATCACGGCCTGGTGGTCTAGTAGTATGATTCCTTGTTAGGGTGTTCGTCAATTTCGAGGAGGTCCCGGGTTCAATTCCCGGCCAGGCCCTGTTTTTTGACGGCATCTGGGAAGTGAAACCCGAAACTGTTCAGAATATTTCGATTCCAGGATATCCGACCCTCCGACCCCCTCCAGCATCTGCGCCAACCGCTCATCGATGCAAATTGACCGAAAACAATTGTATCGTGAAAACATTACGGACAAGTCGAGCGCCACTAGCACTCGTGACGCTTGCCATGGCACGCTTAAGTTTTACTAATTTGCGTGTGATAGCTCGTAGATATCATAGGCGGACTGGTTCTTATTACTGGGCGTGATTAGTTGATTCCCGAACTCAGGCTAACGCGAGTCCCCGGACTCCACGACTGTCAGACTCAGTACTCAGGATTGTTGCTCTCTGAACTGAGCCCATAATGCTCCATGTCGTTCCAGGACTGTCAAACTCTACTAGTATACTTATAGTATAGTGCAGAATAGGGCCAAGATCTAGAATAGCTCATCAAGCGACGTAAGCTTGACCCATGACAATTATTGTCATTATCCGCAGCTGCGCAGCTTATCATTGTGTTCGGGGTCCACCTCCTTTGGTGATGTTAAATGGGCTACTGATGAGTTCTAACAAGTATTGAATTGCACCGCTGTCAAGATAATACTGCAGAGCAAGGAAGAACCGCAGTTACACACCGCTATGCTTATTCAAGACGATAAGGAACCCTTCGAGTCTCCATTCCATACTCCTGATCACGACCCTCCGCCGTATCATGATAGCTTCTCGTCAGGTTCTACGGTTGTAGCGTCGGCTGACACGATAGGGCTCGCCAATGCGCTCACAATGAAGACCATTCGGCTGGAAGAGCACCATGAGTTGATATCCGGTGAGCACCATTTATGTCGTGTTTTATTTGGTTCTAAGGAAGTTTGGCCCACCCATGCAGGCACGTACATCATCGACCCTGATGAGTCAGGAGACGAACCATCCGCTCTGCAAGGCTTTGCAGCCAGGCACAGTGACCTAGTAGGGCTAAGGAAAGCAGCCGACTTTCTCGCTGCAGCGCCGCATGCCGTTTTTCGCAATCGTTTCGGGTCCATCTTTCTAACTCTAGCCACCAAAGGATCGTCAGAACAATGCCGTCGGACCATAATTGACGTTTCGACCCGCCATGGGGATATTGCCGTTAACTTGGTGAGTAAGAATCTAAACTTCATCCCCATAACGTTGAGCCTTATGTCGTTGAAAATAGAGTTCTGTACACCCTGGTAAACGCATCACGCTAAGGGTAACTTCCCGAAGAGGTGAGTTGAAACGGATGGTGCTCAGACTGGCAGTACAAGTTGGCGCCCACGGAAGGTCCGATGACATGAGAGCCGTGTTCTTCGGATTTCACATGGGAAACCATCGTTTCTACTACGCCTAAATCTGTCTCTCATACGTCACGCATCAAAATGTGACACTGATAGGCTTAGCTCTTCTGCTGCGTCATACTTATTCAATTTGTACTGACACTTTACATCTACCAGGCAAGATGGTGATACTGCTTCCCCCAACTTTTTGCGGGGACGTGGAGATACGCAGTAGCAAATCGGACGGCTATGACATTCTTCCAGGACTGTCTAGCAGCATCCGCAGCATGAGCGAGAAGAAGAAGAAAACGTTGTTACTCATCGGCGACAATACTCTAACTACTTCGGAAGGGAGTAAATCCATGGATCATTGTCTTCTCTCCTCACGCCACGGAAGGATTGTCCTAGGCTTGAGCGGACAAGACAGCATGCCAACACCACAACGAGAGGATAACATTTGGAGAAAAATAGGTTCCTTTTTCCGCGGTGGTGAAAGTACGGGAAGTTCTTTACAGGATCTCACACAACCTCATTGACCTCACGACCAGGTTCTTGAGATTGTGTAGATACACACGAAGTATCAATCTTCTATCACAGATGAACGTGAGCAATCGTACGCGTAGACTTACCTAACTCCGATGGTACCGGAGTATGGATCACACTTCATTCCGCGTTCGATATGCACCAGGTGTCAAGCGCCGAATAGTTGATAAACTCATGTTACCAAGGACCCCGTTTAGTGATCCCCCACCCCATTCTTCGCTACCACTTTATCGCTGTCCATCTGATGTCGTTAGACGCCTTTGATGTCAATCACCATAGCGGGTGCCTTTCCCTAAGACGCTTGTTCAAGTTTAAACCTCAACGCGTCCCTAAGAGTTCCAGTACACAAGCGAACCCATCCCATATATGTGATCAGACGCGAAAGGCATCTGATTCAGAAAGAGATGCTAAGATCGTATGTTTTGTCTTTGCATCATTTTGTGTGTAAACTTACCCTTTACCGTCCCATAGACTGATCTGACCTCTCGCGTGTTTTATGATACGTGCTGTGACTTTGGAAGCAGATTCGATAGTGCAGTATCCCAGTGGGAGGCTCCTCCCGTTTATTCAGATCTGCCTTCTTCTAATGATTCTATACGTGGAGAAATACGGCACACGATAGAAACTGTGATCGACACACTCGGTTCTTCCCTACGATCGCTCAGTCTCCAGATTCATAGTAAGCTCTTCAGCTCTCGTCTCGTTTATATCTCTGACTGTGGGATACACAGGCCACCCAGAATTGATGTTTGAAGAAATGTCTGCAGCACATGTATCCCTCGCGCATGTTACTGATGGAAATTTCATAGATTTGCTCACAGACTTCTGTCTGATTACATGGAAAGTCATGGGTTTTCTGTGACGAGGCATTATCTCGGCCTCAAGACTGCTTGGAAGGCTGAATATACCCACGGACAGGGAGGCAGAACCCTTGGGATTAATTCGGAGATGGATGCCTTACCTGAGATTGGGCATGCATGTGGCCACAACCTCATTGCAATCAGTGGGGTAGGTGTGGCATTAGCCATAAAATCCGCATTGGAAACCTACAACGTTCCTGGTACTGTCGTTCTTCTAGGAACCCCAGGTAACCAGTTTGAGTTCGGGCCGACATGCAATACTAATTTCTGGTTCAGCTGAAGAAGGTGGTGGAGGAAAGATTATCCTGCTTGAGCGAGGAGCCTACAAAGGGATGGATGCTTGTTTAATGTCCGTGTGTCCCGCTACATGCATTCGGAACATCACTGATACATGCGTGGCCAATACAGGTGTCATCCTTCCCCTGGGCCCGAGCTATCTTCGTTTGTGGTATCTTCGTTGGCGATGCAATCTATAGATGCCGAATTCTTTGGGCAATCGTGGGTCTTGTGGTTCGTATATGGTCTCATGAGTTAATCCGAAACAGCGCTCATGCTGGCAATGCTCCATGGGAAGGTGCCAACGCGCTTGATGCTGCGTTCTTAGCATACTCCAGCGTCTCCGTGTTACGACAGCAGATCAGACCTGACCACAGAGTCAACGGTGTGATAAACGGGAGCGAGAGAGCTGCGAATGGTACAGTCTAACAACTACCATCACTGGAGATAGATAACCCAACAAGGCTTTTACAGTAATCCCAGACTACGCCAAAATGAGGTGGTATGTCCGAGCGCCGACACGAGACCAGTTAACGCAACTGACGGAAAGAGTATGCGCCTGTTTTGAGTCAGCCTGTATCATAATCTGTGTGGTGCACGGGAACTTACAAGGTTCACAGGGGTGCGGCTCTGGCAACTTCCTGCCGTCTGAAGATTACAAAGAACACGCCCTATTACGACTTACGGCAGAATAGCATCCTTGGTAAGTCACTTTCTAAGATGTTTTTGATTAATCAATATAATTTATACTAGTTATACAGCGGGTGCCTTCTCTCACACGATATGTCAAGAGTATGGCATGAACGTCGGGCAATATCCTTCAGGGACATCTACAGATTTCGTATGTGTGCATATTTATTATTAAATATTCCCAACTTGATTTATTACCTTCTAGGGCAATGTTTCATACGGCAAATTCCATCTCTTCTAATGGCAAATTTGTTACTGATTGTATTTTTAGTCTTGCCTTCGCTACATCCAGCATTTGGTATGTTGTGGCGCGACTATCTCTACACTTATCTGACCGTGCACTAAAGCCATCCCTACCCGGCCTAATGGGGGAAACCATTCGCCAGCATTCGCTGATTCTGCGCGAACCACGGAAGCCCATAAAGCGTGTATGCTTACCACCAAGGCCTTGGCGTGCACCGGCTTCCGTGTCCTGGAAGACAATATTTTTTTCATGCGGGTATGCGTGTTGCCTATCAGTTGATCTCCATTCGTGCTCAACGTTTAATATGGCAGGTACGAGAGGCCTTTGAGGCTAGCATGTGATACAATCCATAATGGAGCTCATGAATGTATGTTTAGCATGAGATAGGTACCACCGCACCACGTATGTACTTATATGTAGAGCATCATCTCAGAAAGATTCAAAGAATAGTCATAAAAATCAAAAGCAGTCCTGTCCTAAGATCCGATCCGATCGTACAAGCCCCACCCCGAACCCAGGCTGTCTCAGCGCTACTGATATTTACGTGTTCCCGAGTCTCCCTCAGCCTGTTCTTTCATCGGATGCTCGCCTTCATGCAGTGATGCCTCAGGCGTTGTGTTACCTTCTCTTCGGGTCTTTCCACGTAAGTGGTGATGCTTTGATTTTCCCTCTGCTGCTTCTGCGACCATTCTAAAATAAAAAGTCAACGTGTGCATAAGTCATCGCGGATCAACTTGAGAGCCGGACGCACCGCTCAAGTTCGCGTCGGACGTCGTCACTCTCATCGGGAACCGTGCTTTTAAATATATGTCCCATGATCATCAATCCCTGACAAGGAACGAGGTAAGAGTGACGTCATGTCAACGGATACAGTCTTCGAATGACGACAAAATAACACACCTTCGCCCGGTGGAACAAAACCTGATCGGACGCCTCTTTATCCTTAAGCACATTATCCACAACCTGAATAGGAATGGTTCAACTGCTGCGCATCCGTAAGCAACCCTTGAGCGTACCTCCCGGAGAACCTGAACGACCTCGAAACGCGTGCCTCGCCAAGATGCTAGCATGATCTAATACGTGTTAACTTATCTCGCGAAAAGATTGACTATGTTGCGAAGCACACGGACCTTGCCTGTAACATCCTCTTCTAATGCACGCATCACGTCCTCGTCGAGCTCCCCCTTCTTTTGTAAGCGGTCCATTTCGGACATGAGAGACTGCACGCTAAATCTGTTTTACATATATCGTGAACGTGTGAACACGAATATATAGATGAAAAACGAACGCGCTGCCGATGACACCCCATGCGTCTTTTGCCACTGAACCCTTCTCCTTCATTCGCGACCAGAAACCTGCACTGCGCCACATAGCGCCACATAAACAAGTTCATAAGGGAACCAATAAAGACGCTACTCACATCCCTAGGAATTTCTTCGACTTCATAAACGAAGTAGCCTTCATCATATATACAGTTCCAATTGCATGCAGCAGCTGTCAATCCCCCGCTTAGCTAATGCAAAACATTGACGCACACCAACTACACATACCTCAACCCCAAAGCTCTCCAGTTTTAAATCGTCTGCTTCAAGTTTCATCCGTGCTTCGAATGCCTTTGTCTCGGGATCTTCTCTGTCGCCAGGTGCTTTCGCATCCACAAAGGGTCGTAGTCGCTCGATCAGCTTCGCAGTGAGCATCTTTACTCGTTCATCCATCGAGCGTTTGCGTTCATCATCAAGATCCTGGAGCTTCTTTTTCTGCTCTGGCGTGAGTTTATTGCGCTTCTTATCCTTCTCCTTGCTTTCTTTGCCGCCTGTAGAAGAGGTCGGGGACCCCAAAACAGACTGGCGCTTCGAAGCATCAGCGGAACTGGGTGTTAATGGTCCATGTGTCGATGGACCAGGTGCAGAAACGTGTGGTTCATGCGACACTGCTGCTTGTGGCGGGACGATGCCCTCTTTCTCGAGCTCGGCACGTTCCTCATCGGTCATTACTGTCTGCGCCACGGACGTCATCTCCTTCATTAAAGATATCTCGCCGATCTGCGTGTGCCACCAGAATCAGTCGACAATTTAATCGTCATGGATGGAGTCGAGAAATTAAAAATGAATCTCCAGTGTAAAGCAGGAAGAGACACACATAATCTCTGAATCGCTCTCCACCAAACACATTTGCGAAGAAACCTGCTGCGTCGTCTAGTTCCGTACTCTCCTTGTCCACCTAAACCACGCAAACCCATATCTAAATGTTAACCTTCGTATACATTGGAAGGTTGACGCACCATATTCTTCCCATTCTTGTCATAGACCGCTCTCAAATTCTAATCGTGTCTCAGTTTGAATTCAAATCATCAGAGTGGAAGAAAGAGGCGTACAGCATCTGATAGCACCTGATACGCTTTACTGTGTCTCATCAGTCTGCCGCCAATTCATAGACGACTAACCGCAGATGTACCTTATGTCCTTGAACTTCTCTTCCGCACCCACAGAAGAATTTTTGTCTGGGTGATACTACACCGGATATGTGAGCTAAAAGGTCTTGCTGAGGTGAGACCAGAGAGAAGCATACATACTTTCATTGCTTGCTTCCTGTATGCCTTCTTGAGGTCCGTATCGTTAACATCCACGGGGACATCCAACTATGCGACTGGTGCTCAGTGCACGCTGTAAGAGATGTGGAGTTGCTGCGCACCAAGTCATAGTACTCTGTTTCGACTGGTGCCATGTTAGAATTATCTGTGCGTCTTTGCCTCTATAGTACTAGTGTGGTTGGTTTGTCTATAAGATGGAAGGAAGGGAAGAGATGCAGAAGAAGAGTCCGAAAAGCAAGGGGGATAAACGTTAACAACGTCACAGAATCCAAAAGACAGTGGGCACAGCCACTACACCTGTAAACGATGGAAGAAGCGGACTTGACCGAAAGCAAGTTCTTGTCGGAAACAGTTAAAATTGCGATCTCAAACATACATGATTTCAGTGCTACAATGGGGTGGAATAAAATAGTGAATGATGGACCATCTACATCCCTTGGTACACTGGGTAACAAAGTGCGAGTTAATGATATGAAATAGGTAGCTGGCCAGACTTTCGCGCAGTTAAGTACTAGTGTCTGTGTCGAGATGAATAAATAATTATGAGTGCTTGACTTCATTTTCATCGTCCAACGCAAGCACGCTGGTTGAAAATCGCACTGATTTTCTTGGGGTTGTCGGGCGGGTCCCGGTCCCTGATGACGCTGTTGATGTCACACGCGCCGGCAAGGATGCAGATCGGTACCCGAGTATCAATTTTGACATACGGTGCCTTATGGACCGCAGGGACCGCAGGCCATCAGGTGTTGCTGGGCCTGCCGAGTTGATCGTAGATGTGGAGGGAGAAGGGCGAATTAACGCAGTTGAGGTCGGAGGGGGACAATTTAAGGTAGTGCTAGTGCTTGTTTTCTTAAGGGAAGAGCGAGAAGGGGGTGGAGGAAGGCTGTGTGCGGGACGATGCGGTGCGGATGAGTCGCGGGGGTACCTTATATGAGAAGGTGACGAAGGTGCAGAATGCCGGTGATGACACGGATTTCGTAGATGAGGTGTGCAGGATACATGTAGGCCCATTGCAATTTGTTCAATGGTAGGACGGGAGACTGCGGTGTCTCTGTATCTCGCGTGCATTCGTGGATGAACATGAGGGTTTCGTTCTTCTGAGGTAGAATACATGCCATGCTGCGCAGTACAATAATGAGAGTCGGCTGGGGCAAATAAGGATGCTCGCTTACTAGGTTGTCTGCATGTCGTTTCCTCGGAGAAGTTAAAATGGTATGACTGATGGACTTGCGCATTGAGACGAAGAAGCGTGAAGCAGTTCCACTAAGTCCAGCTGCAGGACTCTGCTGGCGTGATTGAGGTTTGTTGTTCGTAGACACATGCGGAGAAGACACTAGGGCATTCATCATAGATCGAATTGGTATGAGAAGAGGGTGCTCGAAGATCTGTGTGGTGACTCGTACGCGTGTGCGCGGTGCGCAGTACGTGATGTAATAAATATCGTGGTATGCGTTGTTTTCGCCTAGTAGCTAGGGTCCGACGTTAATGACGTGAATCATCCATGAACTCGAAGTCTTCCGGTATAAGTATTGTGTCATGACTAAATGATTTACACTTTTGAGCTCCGATCTAATAAGGCGCTATAGCCAAGTGGTTACGGCGACAGATTAGAAATCTGTTCCTCTTTGAGGGCGCAGGTTCGAGTCCTGCTGGCGTCGAAGTCTTCTTTTTTTGCCTGCCGCTAAATATACTCATGGATGGATGAGTGCTAAATTATGGACGTCACAGCTCTGGAACGTGAACTTCTGGACGGCTGCAGATGGGCCGTCCTACTAGTGTCAGATGCCTATTTCAATCTACTGATACATCAATATACACTATAGCATAACGGGGAAGTTCGAACCGTGGACCGTGGTTCTGAACTCAATTCAGCCACCCTATAAGCTGCCGACGCCGAGCGGAGTTGAGACCGTCTATTTCCAGGCGCGAAGAAGCTCCCCGTGTACGACCACTGGCGTGTTCAGCCTGAGACATGCCCAAGTGACTGCTATTGGTATCCTCAAGGATTACGGCATTGCAATTGCAATTGTGTGCTACTGTGGCGTATCAGATGTTTCACACCGAGACATGGTCAGGCCTGCCCAAATTTGAAGGTACTATCGCGTTTCTCGTTCATTGAACTTACAAAATTATAGCTTCTTCTACCAAGGTTCATGGCTTAGGACGAGCAGACCGATGATTCCTCAGTAGACAACGAAGCAAAACGGTTGTCTTCCCACTATGAGAGTCACTGACTCGTATCAGATGTTGAGCAGAAGCTCCAGGTTGGCGGTATCCCTACCTGCAATTCTTAGCAGGTAAGGCCGGTCTCACAAGTGAGTCATTAAAACTCTAAGTTACTACAATTTTGGATCGGAATACAGCCGTCACAGATTCCTAGTTCGAATGAATAAGCACCTTAGCCTTACTCGTCGACAAATACCTCCTAGCATCCTTGTTTTGGAAAATCCCTATTCCATGCGAGATACAGTCGTTGACCTCTAAGTTACCGCTTTTAGGTGTCAAAGATCCCCTTTATAAGGCGGACTAACATGCTTCGGACTCGACTATAATCTCTCCGATGCTCTTCACTTATAATCTCGCTTTAGGGATATCGTGCATTGTCGCCCTGGTTGTCGTTTTGAGTCTGACTCGCAGACGTGTTTACCCTTTACCTCTGCCGCCTGGCCCTCGTCCGTTACCATTCCTGGGTAACGTGCTGCAATTGGATACTAAACGACCTTGGCTCACATATACTGCATGGGGGAAGACATATGGTTGGTAGCAGATTGATGGCCTCTTTTCCAGGCTCTTAAATTCAACTTCATACCTTATTGTAGGAAAAATAATTCACTCCCGCGTACTTGGGATCGATTTGATCGTCATAAACTCTGAAACCATAGCGCGGGAGTTGCTGGACAAGCGTTCTGCAAATTACTCTTCTCGCCCCGCTACTCCCACAAACGAACTGTATGCATTACCGGTTTGCATTCAATTTGTTCTTCAACTGATGATGCAGATCTGGACTGGATTTCAATACCGCATTTCTTCCGTATGGGGAGACCTTACGACAACATCGCAAGATCTTCCATCAAGTCCTCAGGGCCGAAGTTTCGCTCTCATACCGCGAGCTGTACTCTCGCCACGCAAATGAACTAGTCATCAATCTCTTAGGTGCCACTAGTGACTCACTACAACAACACATTCAAGCGTTCGTACCTAATCCAGTGGTGTTGTTGTGGCGTATAATCCAGTGTTGACGATCAATCCTTGTGACAGATACACGGCATCTTTAATCATGGCCGTGACATACGGACACCTTGCTCGTGGACATGAATTTTTTACCCGCGTGGAAGAAATCAATGATATTGGAACACAAATTCTTTCTCCCGAGAAGGTTGCCATGTTCACAACCTTTCCTTTCCGTGAGTTCCTTCATCGATAACATAATTTTGAACGCTCAGCATGAGGTTGCAGTTGCGAAGTTACCATTTTGGTGCTTCGGTGGAGCGTTTTCGCAGATGGGACGCTGTAGAGAATTATGTCAACAACTTTTGAACGAGCCCTTTAACGAAGTGAAGGCACAGATGGTACGTTTGCAGAGTTGGGGATGGAAATTTCGCCTGATCTGTTTGCGTGAAGGCAAATGGTACTGCCTCACACTCGTTAGTCGTTGACTTTCTCAGCCAAGCTCACGATGGCGCCGACGAAGACACGATGAAGTCTGTTGCGTTGATGGGATCCATAGGTAAGATTTTTTTACCAGAACAGAATTCATCTATTGACAGGGATACGGCGTCTAAGGTGGTATAGACACCGTGAGTCGCTACTTAAGCAGTTTAGGCAGTCCCGATTCTTAGTTTCAATGTCCCGCAGACTGGATCCGCATTGCAGACATTTTGTTTGGCGATGGTGCTTTATCCTGACGTCCAAGCACGGGCTCGTGCTGAAATTGATCAAGCTGTGGGGCATGATAAAATGCCGTGCCTTGATGACAGGGCGTCATTACCCTACCTCGATGCCGTTCTACGCGAGGTCCTAAGATGGTATCCTATCGGCCCCCTTGGTTGGTTGGCAATAATATAACTTTGTGTTTGCATGGCTGACCTCCTGCACAGGAGTTCCACACGCGACATCAAATGATGATGTTTACGACGGGCACTTTATACCCAAAGGTTCGAAGTCGTATGAATGAGGATGTCATTGACTCATCTGTAGTTTGATCAGGTGCGATAGTAATGGTTAATCAGTGGTATGTCACGGTGGAGTGCATGTAATGGCTTGAGCTGAGCATGGCTCAGGGCACTGTCTCGGGATGAAGACGTATTTCCCGATGCATCACGCTTCGATCCTAGTCGCCATCTAACAGTTGACGGGAAGCTGAAAGACTCTTTCGTCAATCATTTTGCCTTTGGTCATGGCAGGCGAATATTTCAACTTGCTACCATTTTCAATCATTTACCGACCCTTGCAGGCGTATTTGTCCTGGTAGGCTGATACATGGTTGATCTGGCAGTGTTATGAATGACAAATGCCCTTGGCAGGTCGTTGGTTCGCAGAGAACAGTATGTGGACTGCAGTTGCTGCCATACTCGCCGTCTTGCGCATTGATCATGCTAAAGACTCAAACGGAGACAAGATTGAGGTGAAGCCAGAGTTCACCACCGGCTTGGCGATGTAAGTGACTTAGTATGTATTCAAGAACCTGCAGCTGACTCTGCTCAAGTCATCCTGAGCCATTTCACTGCTCGTTTGAATGCGTGAACGCAGCAAGAGAAGGATACATCCGAGCGACGATGAATTCGAAGTAGACTCGAGGCGGCCTGTCATATAATGGCACATGATATCGCGTCGTCTTCGTGGCCATCCTGTACATAACTTGTAATAACGACTGTGTTTAACAAACGGAGAACAGGGAAATTGTGAAAGATACCTCTAAATTCTAGTAAGAGATCGTCGAGTCTCCCGGCACTGCTACTTGCATAACTCACCAGGTCCTTCCCTTCAATACTCGTCTGATTCTTCCGGGTTCACACCTAGTCCTTCTAACGAGCTCAACACACCCCATCGTGAGCGTCCTGTTTCAAAGTTCGGCAAAGTTGCTACAGACAGAAGATAGTAAACGTGGGTACTCGTGGGTACCCAAGTTTTGCAGGTCTTCGTACCCGTACCACCCGGGTCACCCCCGATTTACCCACAGGTGGTGCCCGAGCTACCCGTGTCACACTGAATACCAACTTTTGTGGTGACGTGATTGTTTGCGTATGGGTTATACCAAACTAGGGTACTACAGTACTACTAGTCTACTACTACTACTACGGTACTTAATACTAACGCCTGGCCTTCACACAATAAGTATTATACGCATCCTCTGACATTCAACAATATTAATAATAACAGATAAAAGCTTTACCCATATGAGTTCATATGGCACTTACTCGTTTCGAGCACGCCAAAGCTGCCGAGAAAACTTATCACATGCCACGGAGCCAACAGGGCATGAAATGTACTAGCCTGAGTGCTCTGTCACGGTTTATGTAAGTTTCAAGATTTTTCAGGCATAATAACAAACAAAAGCAGCCCTAAGCTTAAGGAGATTCCGGTATGTCGATGAAGCTAAGGCTGTAAAAGCCGAACTTAAACATTCGTAGCCGAAATTTTTCATGAATGTACGGGATGAACTTTTCGGATCCGAGGATAATCACAGCTTACTCCGTACACCAAACCACAGTGACCACATCATCTTGAGAAATTGACGGTGAGTTTTCGAGGTCCTTTTATTGCTTTATGATGCGAGGTGGAGGCAGCGAGAGGCTCAGGAACCTCCAGTATCAGCATAGTTGGCAGGCAGACAAGTCGCGCTTGCGCAAGACTGGGGGCCAGTCTGTCAAATGGCATCAGCCTGACGCAGAGAGATATCATGGAAAGCTCAACCGAAACTGGTACTCGCTAGCAGACTGGCGCAACGGTTAGGTGATCAATCATTGCCGAGCGGTGCTGGAGGTCTCGATCTCCGTCTGCTGTAAAGGAGGTATGTTATAACTTATTGGAGCCTACTCGGAAGCTCTTGGACATGATAAAAGGCTGCCTACTACGCTGCAAGACCTCAGCTCCATCGTACATCCTTTCATCGAGCTCGCCCACTCAGAGAACTTACATTCAACGAGAATGGCTACCACCACAGCTTCCTCCTTCATCAGCTCTGTGATCCTGCAGCCCCTCATCGTGGCGATCAGCAGCGCTGTGTATTCATCCCTCCTATCCTACGAGATGGTTGGAAACCTCGACTGGAGGCCGGTAAGCCCTTCGTTTGTGCATTTCACAACCTTTCTGATTGCGCTGCACAAAAGATCGCCATATGCGCGACATCTGATGTCCTTGTCATCGCGGCTGACCACCTGAAGGATCAAGAAGTTGTCACCGGTACTCGAGGCGCGGCTGTCATAAAGCGCTTTACCCCTCTTGCGCGTATCTTTTTGGCATTGAATGCGTCGCTGCTCGCGGCAGCTTTAAGTCTCAGTCCGCCGCAAGCGACGTTCTTCACCGCAGCTTTTACCGCCCCAGCTTTTCTGTGGACGACCCCGCTTGATCTTTCGCGGGTCGGCGCAGTATTGAAGAGATTCATAGGGGCAAATTATAGTCGAGAAGTAGACAAAGCTCACAAACCGTTTGTAATCAAACGGGTTCCTGGGATGAAGGCTTTTTTCAGCGGTACCATTCGAAGGTATGTGCTATCCCATCCTGACGGTTTATGATTTCTGACTTGAAGACAGCTGTGGGGTGTTCTTCGTCGTCCACTCAGCGCTGCAGTCCTCGTTGACATCGACCCATAACGCACTTCCATGGACGATCGCCGAGACTCTCGTTTGGTCGATGGTCAATCGCACCGGTCACTGTGTAAGACAAATTTTTCATTGTAAATGTACTCGCGACTCAAGGTGTTCCAAAGATTATGTCGGACGTGCGCGACTACGACGAGGACAAGGAGGCCGGAGTCCCGACCATTCCTGTCCTTCTGGATTCTCTTCTTAAGACTCGGATGATCTTGACCGTCGTTCACGCAGCCATTTTGACGGCCTTCCGCCATAATCCGTTTATTGTGGCAAGTTCCTGCTTCGCCATTGCTCTTGTTTGGATTCTAGGGAAGGATACTCCGAAACCTTACTTCCGTCTTAGTCTTCACTCACAGTCGATCTTTATTGTTACGTACGCTGTTTTACTCTCTTTTAATTTACTCTAGACCACTATTACATATCTTAGGGCTAAAAGATTCTGAGGGTATACCTTTTTTTTTAATTTGGTGACGGTTCGATTTGCCGTGTATATTTTCAGGGTCCGTTGTATTTACTGTAGTCCCGAAATGAAATGTGACAGTTATCACAAATATGTTGGGCAGCGAGGGAGAGACGGGCACACTGGTAAGAACAAATGTTCTCGGTCTCCGGACAGAACTGAGATACTCGGTACTATGAGACTGCTAGCTAACGGCTACCTTACCCTTTACGGTTCCCCATGGAAAGTCACTCCAGACGCACTGGGTACGCCTCTCCCTCTGCGTGCTACCAACGCCTTGCTGCCTTTTTATCTCGAAATCCCACATAGCGAACATTGTGGTTGTCCCGCTGTAATACGACGACATGCGTGGTGCCTGTGAGCACTGAGGGCCATAGCGATGCCGTCGCGAGACCTCAAATTGACGACTTAGTACATGCAAGATCTGACGCGCGGGATCTGTGAGAAAAACAGGCTTGTCCGTGTGAGGTGGTGCCGAGGAATACATATAGGTTTGTTGTTAGACTCTTCGTCTTTTCCTGCTGTTGATCTGACGTGATTCGAAAACTCTCGACACGGGTGCCGGTGATCACCAGCCTCCAAGCTCACTGATTTAGATTTAGAACGTTCTAAACACTGAAGTCGTCGATCACTAGCTAAGCTATCGTGATAGAGTTGCTCAATTCTAAACGTTGGGAGCACACCAACCAAGCCTTGTCCTAAACGGGACTCGTAAGCTAGATCATCATGGACGCTAATCGGACGCAAGCACAAGCGGAAACGCCCCAATCAATAGACAAGAATCATTATTATTAAATCCGGAGCGACATGGAACAGAGGCACTCGAAGATGCAGCTAGCTACTTTTGTAAGTTGTACGTCAACCTGATTTCTGGGGCTTGTGCCTTGTGCCACACGGGTGGTGACGAGACCTGATAATCACACCGGCGTACTGTCTCTTTGCTGGACAGATGAAGCCTGCGCGGGATCCATATCGACACGGATATGTTCTTTTTACTACAATATTCATTTACAACAGTATATATACATCCTGAACGTTGATATCATATCAGCCGTGTCACACACATAAAGTTTTTTTAATGACAGACGCGCTGTACTAGTGTCCATATGGAAGCCGATGCGTGCACGTTCAACGTTCAACGTTTCAACGTTGAACTGACTTCGGACCGCGAAAACAATCAAGTCTCACGGTTTCTGAAGCGAAGTCTTCGCTTCACTGATTGATAAAAGTATACATAGTACCATGTGAGAGGCGCTCTAACAATAAACAAGGGCGGGTTTATCGGTATGAGTAACACCGGCCGGCTATTCGTACTATACCGTTGTCCCTTTTCTCGCACACTACCATCCACAAGATTCTTGTGTCCGGAGCGCGCGTATTGCACAAATCATCTTAAGTATCAGTTCGATTATGTACAGCAGTCACCGGTCAGCTCTGCATGCAGAACACCGCGTCTTAACAGTTGCTATTGTTAAACTCTCTCTCACACACATTCCTAACCCTCAGATCAGGTCTAACATAACATAACATAACGTCCCTTGTCTGAACCTTTTCCTGACCTCAAGTAATTATCGATATCTCTTGAGACACTCAAAATGGAATTTTGATTAAAGCGCGAAAACTTAGGAGATCACGTGATTTTTTGTGTATGAGTTATGCCAAAACTAGGCTACTAACGCCTAGCCTTTACACAATATCACACACTGACATTCAACGTTTACCGATATGGTGTTTACTCGCCTCGACCACGAAGAAGATGCCGAGAAGACACTGCATGCCACGGAGTCAGCGGAGCTGAACTCTACTAGCACATTTATGTAAGTTTTAGGATTGACCAGGGCCTAACAATAAACAAAACCAGCTAAGGAGATTCTGGTATGTATGGCTGTAAAAGCTGTATTCGAACTCAATCATTTGTAGCCGAAACTTTTCATGAACGCACGGGATGAAACTCTTCGGTTCCGGAGATAGTCACAGCTTACTCCGTTTCTTGAATCGAAGTTCGGCGAGTTTTCGAGGTCCTTTGATTTGACATCAGGCTTTATGATGCGAGGTGGAGGCTGCGAGAGGCTGCAGGAGCTTCTGGTATCGGTGTATTTGGCAGGCAGATGAGTCGCTTGCGCAAGATAGGGGCACAGTCTGTCAGATCATCAACCTGAGCCACAGAGATGTTGTGGAAAGCTCAACCGAACTGGCGCGACAGCCAGGTGATCGAGCGGTGCTGGAGGTCTTGATCTTCATCTGCTGTAAGTCAGCTACGTTGCCATCTGATCTCATTTATTGAAAAGTTTATGATTATATTCATGATTTGTCTTGCAGCTTCGGAAGTTTTTAGAAATGATAAAAGGCCACCTACTACGCTGCAAATCTTCAGCTCCATCGTACATCCTTTCATCGAGCTTGCCCACTCAGAGAACTTACATTCAACGAGAATGGCTACCACCACAGCTTCATCATTCATTAGCTCTGTGATCCTGCAGCCCCTCATCGTGGCGATCAGCAGCGCTGTGTATTCATCCCTCCTATCCTACGAGATGGTCGGAAACCTCGACTGGAGGCCGGTAAGCCCTTCGTTTGCGGATTTCATAACCTTTCTGATTGCGCTGTACAAAAGATCGTCATATGCGCGACATCTGATGTCCTTGTCATCGCGGCTGACCACCTGAAGGATCAAGAAATTGTCATCGGTTCTCGAGGCGCAGCTGTCATAAAGCGCTTTACCCCCCTTGCGCGTATCTTTTTGGCGTTGAATGCGTCGCTGCTCGTGGCAGCTTGAGTCTTAGTCCGCCGAAAGCGACGTTCTTCACCGCAGTTTTCACTTCCCCAGCTTTTCTGTGGACGACCCCGCTTGATCTTTCGCGGGTCGGCGCAGTATTGAAGAGATTCATAGGGGCACATTATAGTCGAGAAGTAGACAAAGCTCACAAACCGTTCGTAATCAAACGGGTTCCTGGGATGAAGGCTTTTTTCAGCGGTACCATTCGAAGGTATGTGCTGTCCCATCCCGATGATTTATGGCTTCTTACTTGAAGACAGCTGTGGGGTGTTCTTAGTCGTCCAGTCGGCGCTGCAGTCGCCGTGGAAATCGACCCATGACGCACTTCCATGGACGATCGCCGAGACTCTCGTTTGGTCGATGGTCAATCGCACCGGTCATTGTGTAAGATAATTTTTTTATTGTAAATGTACTCGCGACTCAAGGTGTTCCAAAGATTATGTCGGACGTGCGCGACTACGACGAGGACAAGGAGGCCGGAGTCCCGACCATACCTGTCCTTCTAGATTCTCTTCTTAAGACTCGGATGATCTTGACTGTCGTTCACGCAGCCATTTTGACGGCCTTCCGCCATAATCCGTTTATTGTGGCAAGTTCCTGTTTCGCAATTGCTCTTGTTTGGATTCTAGGAAAGGATACCCCGAAACCTTACTTCCGTCTTAGTCTTCACTCGCAGTCGATCTTCATTGTTACGTACGCTGTTATGCTCGCTTTTGGTTTAGACCACTATTGCACATCTTAGGGGCTCAAAGGGTGGATCTTCGGTGTCGGTTCGATTTGCCGTGTATTTTCAGGGTCCGTTGTATATTTATTGTAATCCCGAAATGTCACGCATCTGCTACGCATGGCCTTGACTATTGAATATTGAAGCTTGAAGCTTGAAGGTGATCGCATAATGTCTAAGAAAGATAATCTGTGATCCCAGATGGTCACAGATGCCTCTTTAAAAAAGCATGATTGATATATACACGGTGCCCAAGCATTGAGATCTGAGAGGCAAGTTGATGTCATAACCTGCACGGCCTTACCACCAAGAACTTTTAAATATACAACGGACCCTGAAAATACACGGCAAATCGAACCGACACCGAAGATCCACCCTTTGAGCCCCTAAGATGTGCAATAGTGGTCTAAACCAAACCAAAAGCGAGCATAACAGCGTACGTAACAATGAAGATCGACTGCGAGTGAAGACTAAGACGGAAGTAAGGTTTCGGGGTATTTAGTCACTCATCGGTGCCAAGAGCTGTTGAAGTCCCAACGTTCGGCCTCGGTGAAAATCGGACAGAGACTCTCGCACGGAGATTGACGGATTTGTAAGTTTCAAGTAGTCTGTAAACTCATATCGATCGGAATCCAAGTTGTACAAAACACAATTTGAACGATCTGTGCAAAATTTGAGCAGCACGTACTCAATGCTGCGCGTCATCCAACTTCGACGTTTCAACGGGTCGCCTTTACAGCAAACATCAGCTCCCCGCGCAGAAGACCATTGCCCCACCAAGAGCTGCATTCCAGAAAACGGGACCAACCTCCCCGGTGGTGTTGTGAGCACGTGGCGTGGACATAGGAAAAGCAGCGCAAGGAAAAGGAGGTGCATGAAGAGAGATGGATCCGAGTGCGTAGGTGACACCGTGACAGGCATGGCGGCGAATATTGATTATGAGAGGAGTCAGACACAGGTGCGGGGGAAAGAAGACTGAACTGAGTGTGAGCGTACCACACGCCTTCCATCCTTCAAGACTGATGCGAAGCAGGACGACGGAGACCAAAGAAAAATCCGCAGTAGTTCACTCCTTCATACACAAAGTCTTCCGCTCCGCCAGTTGAGCCATGTGCTTGACCTGATTGCGTTGAACCATCGGCCTGGTTGCTGTTCGTACGTTGCATAGCTGCGACCGCTTCCGCATCAGACTCAGGGACAATACCGATTCTCTGCAATGTGTTTTAATGGGAGGAAGGAGGAGGAAAGGTGAGCCACCCACATCTTCATCTTGAGCAAGAGCTGCATCAACGGTGCGCGTGGAACGTCCTCCAGAAAACAGGAAGTTGAAATTACAGTGTCGGGACTGTCGTTTGATTGGTTGGAATGCATTTGCAGGTCGTGTGCCGAAATGCATGGAACTGAGCAAACGACGCCAACGAGTAAGGGACGATGGGCTTGCGGAGGAGCTGCACGACGAGATGCGTGGTCTGATTCGTCGCCAAATAAATCATTGCCCTGTATTCTGGTGTCAGGCGAGAAAGGTCAAGAACAAGAAAGTACACTGACATATCTTGTCAGTTCTGTTTTTTTGGCCTGCTAATTAGACGCAAGACGGAGGTCAAAAGTCTAACGCGACACGAGAAAATATGGGGTTGCTCACGATTAGTGGGCGCACAACACTGAGTTGAGATGGATGTCCCTGATAAAAAGTGAGATGTAGTGTGAAAGAGAAGCAGAGAAGACTTGCCTTGAGCTTTGCATTCCCATCATCTGCGCCCTAGATAGCCAAAACCGATAGGAAGGGAAATTAGTAAACACAAAACACATACGTACCACAACGTTTTTGAGCGCCGCCTCCAGGTTCCATACATAGATTTTTGTATCTGGACCAGCACTGGCAATGAATTTTCCATCGCGGGACATGACAACAGCCAAGAGTCTGTTATCATGCAAGAGTGGGTCTTGAGCCTGAGATCCCAGATGCGAATGGAGTGGTCAATTGATCCGCTAACAATATATCGTTCATTGGGAGTAAGACAGATGGATCTGACGGAGTGGGTATGACCCCGAAGAACGATGAGTTACTGTCGGACATCAATCGCCCGCCACTTTCGGATGGTTTCATCAAGTGAGGCAGAGAAGATGTGTACGCAGTCCTTGAACCAACACAATGATGTCATGTCCCTTGAGGCCCTTTGACATCGGACCGTTCCCACCGCTCATAACGGCTTCAACCCATACGTGACTGGTCTCTATGGGTGATGCTATTTGTCGACCAGTATCTGGGTTCCAGCGTCGTAGTATGGTGCCGTCTTGCGATCCACTTGCTATCTCCAGGGAATTGCGAGACCAATCGAGGCACCTCACTGCAGCGTTGTGCCCTCCCACGGGTCGCCGATTGATCATGCTGCCCTCCTTTATATTCCACAGCCGCAGTCGGGACTCGGCCATCTACACTTCCACACATGACCATCATTTCATCCAAGGATACTACCATCGAAGGTATCGCTCCCCCATTGTTATTCAAAGGTTTTCCTACTGGTTCTCCGTCTCTTTTCCACTGACGAATCGAACTATCCCCAGACGTGCTCATTATATTGCCACTGGTACCCAAGTAGGCAAGGCTCCATATGCATTCGGAGTGACCCTCCATGACGCACTCTGGAATCAAGCTTCCTGCCGGACGTTCTGGCTTTGGGTTCTTCCACGACGTGGTTCGAGTATTGTGGTTGACGAAGTAGGACTCACCGAGTGGTGAGATGTGCCATTCGCATCCAGGAACAGCGAGATCTCCAGAATAATCTATGTTCGACGGTGAGTTTGTCGCTCCTTGTCGCAATTTCATCCCTCACCTAGTCGCACTCCTGGTAAAGGTAGGTTCCACGAGCTAAACACGAGCGTATCATGATATCCAGTTGCACCATCCGAGGACGTCTTATACTGACGCTACATAGGAGCAAGCGCTTCATTCCCGCCTGCTTCTAATCGAGTAAGCTGGTGGGTATCACCAGGTGGCTGCTCACCTTCCCAAAGTGCGTCCTGGCGGTGCTGTGCACCATATGGCGGTGGATATTTCGCGCTCGTCCGATATATCGATGTGTGCAATGGCGCTTCTCCCTAGATCCAAAGTCTTGGAGATTTCACATTTCATTGCTCAAGCGCTCAAGTCTAGACATACATGTAGTATTCCGTTGTAACTTCCATCAATCCAACTCTTCTGAATAACCATGAACTTCATCTGACGTGATTCGGAAAGTCTCGACACAGGTGATCACCAGCCTCCAAGCACACTGATTTAGATCTAGAACGTTCTAAACGTGAAGTCATCGATCACTAGGTAAGCTGATAGAGTTGCTGAATTCTGAACGTTCGAGTTCACTTGAGAGCACACCGCCAAGCCTAAACGGGACTCGTAGTACCTGAACCTTACGGCGTACAGCGCCGACACTTGGTGTAGTCAACTAGCATGCAAGCACACATAATATCCCAAACCCCATTAAACTTTGTCATTCATATTCCTAACCGTATCCCGACACCTCATGCTCTGCGAAATCACGGGTACGGAGAAAGGCATCACGATAATGGTTAAGTTCTTGGAGGGATCCGATGCTTTCAAGAAGGGAAAGGCAGAGACAGGCCGAAGCAGAGGGTATAGGGAGAGTAGAGGAGAGAAGGAAAGAGTAAAGGCAGGAGACGAGGGTGAGAATGGGTGCCAAGAGAGGGTAGAGGAGGGTGCTGGTGTCAAGGCCTTGGATAGACTCGTGACCAGTCTGACGTACGTCACACCGAGCCTAGTTGTGGGATGCTTGAGGGAATCATGGACGCTAATCGGACGTAAGCACAAGCGGAAACGCCCCAATCAATAGATCAGACTTGAGTTTATTATTAGATTCGGAGGGACATCATGAAACAGAGGCGCTCGACGATGCAGCTAGCTACTTTTGCAATTGTAAGTTGTACGTCAACCTGGACTTGTGCCTTGTGCCACAGGGTGGTAGTGCCGAGAGAGACCTGATAATCGCACCGGCGTGCGCACTGACATGTGGACAGATGAAGCTCGCCCGGGATCCATTGCGACACGAATATGTTCAGCAGCGTGTCACACACGTGCTGCCGCACTACTAGTGTCCATGTGGGAACTTCAACGTTGAACTGACTTCGGCCGCGGAAGCAAGTGACTGATGCCCATCGATAAAAGTACCATGTGAGCGCTTCTAACAATAAACAAGAGCGGCTAATTCTGGTTTATCGGTATGAAAATAGACCCTACCGGCTATTCGTACTATACCGTTTTCCCTTTTCTCGCACAAGATTCCTGGGTCCGGAGCGCGCGCACTTATTGCACAAATCGTCTTGGAATCTCTTATCAGTTCGATTATGTACAACGGTCACCGGTCAGCTCTGCATGCAGAGCACCGCGTCTTAACAGTTTCCGTTGTTAAACTCTCTCTCACACCTGCATAAGGTACATAACGTCCCAGGGTTGCTCACCCAAAATGGAATTTTGATTAAATCAATCAGGTACAATTACTTATGAGATCACGTGATTGGAGTTATGTCAAACTAGGGGTACTAACGCCTAGCCTTTACAGTGCACATACACATCCTCTGACATTCAACGTTTACCGATATGGTGTTTACTTGCCTAGACCACGAAGAAGATGCCGAGAAGACACTGCACGCCACGGAGTCAGCAGGGCTAGCGCTCTGTCATCATTTATGTAAGTCTTAGGATCGACCAGGCCTAATAATAAACAAAACCAGCTAAGGAGATTCTGGTATGTATGGCGGTAAAAGCTGTATTTGAACTCAAACATTCGCAGCCGAAACGTTTTATGAACGTACGGAATGAAACTTTTCGGATCCGAGGACAGTCACAGCTACTCCGAGTCCGTATCTTGAATCGAAGTTCACGGCGAGTTTTCGAGGTCCTTTGATTTGACATCAGGCTTTATGATGCGAGGTGGAGGCTGCGAGAGGCTGCAGGAGCTTCTAGTATCGGTGTAGTTGGCAGGCAGATGAGTCGCTTGCGGCCCAGTCTGTCAAATCATCAACCTGAGCCAGAGAGATATTGCGGAAAGCTCAACCGAACTGGCGCTTGCTAGCAGACTGGCGCGACAGCCAGGTGAATCGTGATTGAGCGGTGCTAGAGGTCTTGATTTCCGTCTGCTGTAAGTCAGGTACGTTGTCATCTGATCTCATTTATTGAAATGTTTATGATTATATTCATGATTTTTCTTGCAGCTTCGGAAGTTTTTAGAAATGATAAAAGGCCACCTACTATGCTGCAAAGCCTCAGCTCCATCGTACATCCTTTCATCGAGCTTGCCCACTCAGACAACTTACATTCAACGAGAATGGCTACCACCACAGCTTCCTCCTTCATTAGCTCTGTGATCTTGCAGCCCCTCATCGTGGCAATCAGCAGCGCTGTGTATTCATCCCTCCTATCCTACGAGATGGTCGGAAACCTCGACTGGAGGCCGGTAAGCCCTTCGTTTGCGGATTTCACAACCTTTCTGATTGCGCCGCACAAAAGATCGTCATATGCGCGACATCTGATGTCCTTGTCATCGCGGCTGACCACCTGAAGGATCAAGAAATTGTCACCGGTACTCGAGGCGCTGCTGTCATAAAGCGCTTTACCCCCCTTGCGCGTATCTTTTTGGCGTTGAATGCGTCGCTGCTCGTGGCAGCTTTGAGTCTTAGTCCGCCGAAAGCAACGTTCTTCACCGCAGTTTTCACTTCCCCAGCTTTTCTGTGGACGACCCCGCTTGATCTTTCGCGGATCGGCGCAGTACTGAAGAGACTCATAGGGGCAAATTATAGTCAAGAAGTAGACAAAGCTCACAAACCGTTCATCATCAAACGGGTTCCTGGGATGAAGGCTTTTTTCAGCGGTACCATTCGAAGGTATGTGCTGTCCCATCCTGACGGTTTATTGTTTCTTACTCGAAGACAGCTGTGGGGTGTTCTTGGTCGTCCAGTCGGCGCTGCAGTCGCCGTGGAAATCGACCCATAACGCACTTCCATGGACGATCGCCGAGACTCTCGTTTGGTCGATGGTCAATCGCACCGGTCATTGTGTAAGACAATTTTTATTGTAAATGTACTCGCGACTCAAGGCATTCTACAGATTATGTCGGACGTGCGCGACTACGACGAGGACAAGGAGGCCGGAGTCCCGACCATTCCTGTCCTTCTAGATTCTCTTCTTAAGACTCGGATGATCTTGACCGTCGTTCACGCAGCCATTTTGACGGCCTTCCGCCATAATCCGTTTATTGTGGCAAGTTCCTGCTTCGCCATTGCTCTTGTTTGGATTTTAGGGAAAGATACCCCGAAACCTTACTTCCGTCTTAGTCTTCACTCTCAGTCGATTTTCATTGTTACGTATGCTGTTTTGCTCACTTTTGGTTTGGTTTAGACTACTATTGCACATCTTAGAGATTATAGAAAGGTTCTCAGGGTGGATCTTCGGTGTCGGTTCGATTTGCTGTGCTGCGTTTTTTTTAGAGTCTGTTTTGTTTACTGCTGTACGTCATGGTGGATCTTTGGTGTCGGTTCGATTTGTTGTATGTTTTCTGAGTCCGTTGTATTTACTAGTAGTCTCTAAATGTCACGATTACTGGATAGTGCTGAATATTGGCTTCCTGCCCATCGAAATACTTCGACTTGAGTGTTTTATTCCAGTTGTGAAGTTATGCTGGGTTTGAATTCTTTGGATAGTGCCGCATCCCTAGCGATCTGATAGAGTCAGGGGCTGGCGTCATTAGAATTCCTAACGTTTCAACAAAATTCGAGAATGCCGTCGCTCAAAAAGCTAGCTCCACAGCGTGTGCCAGTCCGATAAAATCGTACCCCTTGAAACTCGATAAGAACATGAGGTAGATACGTGTCGATATGGATCGAAGAAAATAGATTTTGTCGTACCAAGTGGCCAGTGTGACTGTCCGTTACTATTCGTGACATGTCATAGGGTGACTAGGACCGTAACGAACCCATAGTACTACATATATTCATTTTGCTACAACTTGAATATTATGTTCATAAAAAACCAAAAACCGTGCACCGTGACATACCTCCCGATATCAGTTGTGTCATCAAGAAGCACGTAAAGTTCCGTGATCAGCATATAGACGGACGTGCAGTGTTTATCTCCACCTTGGCGCCACCTGCGGAAGGACCAAGTCGACCAAAGTCTCACGTGAACCGGATTTACCTCGAAGTTGCTTCGCTTCGGCGGCAGAATTTCGCTACTTTTGTAAGTCATTGCATGACTGACAAAAGTAGCTAGCATGAGTGCCTCTGTTAAACGTTACATAAACATGCGCTCCAACGATAAACAAGGCACTGCGTGTTGTCCAAAAATTCCGACGGCTTAGAGATGGCTGAGAATCTGGGGGTACCTAAGGTTTCAGCCACGTCGAAGCCATCAAATATCAGCCGACTTCTATGGTGTCGGAAATCTGACTCTTTAAATTACCACCGGCGTCGACAATAGCTCGAACTTAGAGGTACCCTCGCCTACGTCTTGTCTACCTTGCAGTGACTTCTACCTGGGGTGTGTTTTGCGTGTTGTACATAGCATACAAAATATAATATCTTTACCTTACCTTTTCTTGGATGTATGCAGTCGCTGTGCCAGTAAGTATTCAGACCAAGGTGTGCGGAGCTTCAATTCATCTTACCCTGAACCCTTCAACAACGATCTTGACGATGTTGAGCAGCGACCACACACTCCTAACTCTAAATCAAGCATCCACCACTTATTAGCTAGGCATGTGTATCCAATCTCAAGTTGAACAACACATCCAATGAACTCAAGATCAAGCAGGTCGATACTTCTCCGACAAGGCGGAATACTGTGTACTTTCCTTTTCGACACGTCTGCCTGCCGGGTCAAAGGTAATATTGTCCATTGGCTTCTCCGGAGAACTGATCAGTGACCAGAGCTATAACTGGGGTGTTACAGGAGCTCGTTTGAGTACGATGGAACCAAGAAGTATTATGCATTGACTCAATTCTAAGTATGTACTCGATCCCACTAGTTGTGCACGCACTTATGACATATTGCTAGCCCACAGCTGTGAGACGTGCCTTCTCAGTGTTGGGATGAACCCCTTCTCAAGGTGACATTTGCAGTCACTATGATATCACACGCTGACATCGAGCTGAGTAGGAAAACCCGTCTCCTGCACATCTACTGTAGGTACCCGTCGTCATAGAATCCGAGTACAAGCTGAATTAATTTGGACAGCTACTCCCGACGTAATTCATCTCGCCGCTTCACTTAATATTGTCAAGAGCCCTCACGTTCTGCAGTATATATAGCCGTAGCTAGCTAGCACTGCGCATGTATTCGCTGGAATATCTAATAAATTTGCAATTTCTCAGATTTAAATAATTGAACGTCTGCAGCTGGACTATATATATTGAATATGATATAATTAATGTGGTTTATTCAATGTATATGCAGTATCGTTCTGGACCCATAGTAGCAGCTGGCTGGAACTTGATGGCCAAACCATGTCTTCGAGGTGATTGAAATCCGGAAAATCAACCGTCTGGAAGCCGGTTCATACCATAGGTCCAGAAACAGCTAAAACTTGACCCTGGGGTCACATTCCAGCCAGGTATCTACCGTCGGAAATTTTTGACAACACGCAGTGAGGGCGACTAATTCTGGTCTGACGGCTATTCGTACTGTACCGTTTTGCCTTTTCTCGCACACTAATGCAACTCACAGAGCACCGCGTCTTAACAGTTTTCGTTGTTCAATCATCTCGCTCACATTGCTAACCCTCATCAGGCTTAGCCCTTACATAAATACCCTGAACTCAAGCAATTATTAAGTAACGTAGTCAGCCAATAAAAGATCGTTTATCGTTTATAATTATTACCCACAAATTTTGAATTCATCAGGCCCGCGACATAAAAACAAAAAACAAAGTGATCACGTGATCGTTTGTGTATGAGTTATCCCCACTGCCCAGGGCCTAGGCGTAAAAAGTTCAGTTCGTTTCATCTCCGAATACAGGAACAACACTGAGTACTGATTGCCGACACTTGTTGCCAGTTGTTATTCACGGGGCCAGAGGCTGGCCGTTGCTCTAAACTTGTCTTATACCAGTAAGTGTTCCCATAGGTTTTTCCGCGTCGCTGTTGCTGATGCCGAGTGTGTTATGTGACCGTATGGCGTATTGTGTTGTTGATGCTGGACTTGGTTCTGGAACCGGCAGGGAATCTGTTGTCTGTCACTGTCAGCATGATAGTTCAACGTTAACGTTCATTGCCGACTCTGATAATGTTAACCAGTATGTTTGACCGGGAGACAGGTCCTTGTTCCGACCTCGGAACTAATGTATGGAGCCGAAATGAAACTGTTTGTTACAAAAATAACGTCAAATGAAACGATCTGAACTCGATGTTTTAGAATTGAGCACGCCTAGCAGCTAAGCAGCTTAGCGCTAAGCTTGACACAATATCCTGTGATATTCGGTTTACCCATAAGATCTAAGAGTCTATATGGTATTTATTCGCCTTGAACAAGCTGCTGAGAAAATACTGCATGCCACGCAGTCAGCAGGGTCAAACGTCAAACTAGTACTGTAGTCTCAATGGAGTCACGGTGTACCGTTTATGTAAGTTTTAGAAATGACTAGGCCTAATATTAAACAATAAACAAGGGCAGCTAAGGTATGTCGATTTTAATTTGAAACTATAGCTGTAAAAAACCGAACTCAAACATTCATAGCCGAAACTTTCCATGAACGGAAAGAACTCTTGGGATCCGAGGATACAACTTACGAGTCCGTACAGGAAAGATTTCTGAACCACCACTGCATCACGGCGAGTTTTCGAAGTCCCTTCACTTGACATCAGGCTTTATGGTGCGAGATGGAGGCAGCGAGAGGCTGCAGGAGGCTCCGGTATGGGTGTACTTGGCAGGATGAGTCGCGCTTGGGGGGCGAGTCGGTCAAAACATCAACCTGATCCAGCGAGATGTTGTGGCGGACTGATAGTCGCTAACAGACTGGCGCAACAGCCAGGTGATCAACATCGTAAGACTCAGTCTTGACCGTCGTTCACGCAGCTGTTTTGACGGCTTCCGCCACAATCCATTTATTGTGGCAAGTTCGGATTCTAGACCAGTCGAATCACATGGGATTAGTTCACAAGCAAGTCAGGGGCTGGCGTCCAGAATTCGAGGACACTTCACAGCTACAGCGTGTACCGGCCAACTCGTACCCCTATCAACATATTTCACCCATAGGAGGTTCATCGAAACGTTCATCTTGTATATACACTATTGATTTGGACAAATGAATTCTACAGCAGTGATTGACAAACCGAAAGCAGACGCCGTAATCCTACAAAACTGCGCACACAACACACAAAAGTTTTTACAACATGGACTTTCGTTGACCAGCGTGCAAATCATACAGATCGACCGCGGCCCTCGCAATCTCATTCATGAACTCCTGGTTTGGCATCTCCTTTCGTGAGGTGACAGTAAATTGCAGACGGTCTGTGTATAGATCAGTGAAGCTCGGCACACCTAAATTTTCAACTTGAACGTACCGTCGTATCCAGTCATATATGCCACCCCAAAGCCCTCCGGTACAACTTCACCCCATCCATACTCAGGAAAGTGGTCCGAGAAAACAGCACTCGTGCTCAGGACCCAGTTTCCGGAGCGTTTGTACAAAGGGTCATTGTACAACTCTGGAACTGGCTCGCCTTCTCTCAGGCACATTTTCATTCCTATTTTGCTCGTCAACATGCAAGACACGTTCCAAGAAGACAGGGGTGACTCACCCAGCATGTGCCGATCCACTCCTTCTCCGGACCCTGCTGCCTTCGCCAGTACAATGTGCATTTTGGCAGCAGCATCAAAAAGCTGTTTCCGGTCCTCACAGCTGACACGAGGGTCATCCATTGCCGAGACAAAAGCATCCGATTGCGAGGTGACCACCCTGATTGTTTCCGTCCGGCCTTTCCAGTATCTACGCGTAGTTGCTGCCTCGTAGGTCCCTCCTTCCCTGTTCAGTCCGCGTGCACGGAGTAAGCGCGCATACGCCAGTTGGATGATCATCTGGGCCCATGAATCGGGGGACACACGAAACGCCTTGATGGCAGCCTTGCCATATGATGTGAGGTGGTATGACATTGACTGTGAATCAGCAAGCTCGTATGCAGCTTTCGACGCCTTGTCGATTGCGGTACGCGTCGTGTTGTCTACTACGAAATCTAATGGTTCGGGTTTTGGCAGTGGAATCGCAGACGGCGCCCCGAGGTCAAAAGTAGGATCAGCGAGCCAGTCGAGCACCTCATCGCACATACGAACAGTAGGTGTGCCGTCCATAACGGAATGCTCGCCCATGAGACCGGCATGTGCATTGTCAAAAACGATAAACTCAACAGGTTTATCAACCCAGCGGTTCTTCAAACCAGTTGCATCCAATGTGGATGGTGAGAGCGAACCGTGCCAGAGAGAGCGGCTGTTAGCGATGGGAGAGGAGGGCGTGTCGGTGTCAAGGGAGATGAGGAAGGCAGAGGAGTGTATTGTATGCAAGATGGATGCGTTATGTGGGTCCGCGGCCAGGTGGGCATGGTCCTAACATTGTTCAGGGGGTTTCACGAAGAACGTGCATAGATAGATGTACCTTGGCCCATACGTCACGGTTTGATGCAGTCAAAACGCCAACTCCTGGGTATTCTTCGGTGGTAGAGTCGTAAATATATTGTATTTGTCTGTAGGGAACATTAGTTTGGGATACAAGCAGCAAAGCGGGATGTACACACTTCTCTAACTCAGTCGTGCTGAGTATTCGCCCATTTATGATACCCTTGAGCTTCCAGAACCTGTTCCTCCTGACAATAATAATATGGCCTAATTCATCTACCCCGAAACCCGCGTGAGACACACTCCAGTCGAGACCGTGGAGGCCAGGTATACGACAGCAGTCAAACATCCATCTTCATAAAAGGTTAAGGATGAAAACAGCTTCGATGCTCCGTCACGTACCGATACGTGTCCATACAGAATTGACCCTCCTTTGTTCCGTCAGGGCTCACCTGGCCACTTAGCAACTTCTGCCGAAATACGAGGGCTCCACGTGCAAGGCCAGCAGCACGAGCAGCAGGGCTTTGCGGAAGGTGGGCAGGTTGCCCATCGAAGCCATCTGATATGAACCGTCAGAGCCGAAGACACGAGGAACTGTTGCGCAGCTCACAGTAATATGAAACATTCACCACAACCTGCGCACGTGTTAATTTAGCGCCATGGGCAGTGGAGCTGGGCATACCGAATCTCGATAGCCCAAGTAGCCGAGATCATCCCACCACTCCTCCAGCCAATGTTCGCGTTCACTTGCACGTTGCAGTAGACGAGACTGCAATAGGCTCCCTGACCCAGCGTGTGATCCGAATGCATCAATCTTCTTGACAGCATCGGTGAATTCAGCCTCCGAATGTGCCAACGGTAACAATGACGTCTTCAGTCGCTCGAGAGTAGCAGTGAGATTTGGAACTGGCAAGCGAGGAAGAGAATCATGTTGGGCCGCGAAGTTGGGTATTGGAGGGGCAGCTGCTTTCCAGTCAACTGGACGTGGCCCGGTAAGAGACGGCATATGGATCTTTCGGAACAATAATGGTCTCCGACGAAATTTGAAGGGAGGGAGCCTGGCAAGCATTGAGCTAGAGAAATGAGTACTGCAACGCAATGCAACTTATTTGAATCTATCTGAATAGTATCCGAGTGATGTACGGTTATCACGAGCGTCGCTGTTACAACTCACGTGTTTGTCGAAAGTTAGCCGGAGCCTCCCATAGTTGACCTCGAACTTTCCGCCAGTATCTGTCAGAATCGATAAAGATTGCTAGACGGTGAGACATAACTCGGAAGATCCGTGTCACTTACTTTATTTCATGATTATATTGAGCGTGAATTGTTGTAACGAAGCTCGAAACTATTGCAATTGCGCTTCATCGTGGTCCCTCCCTATACGTGCATCGTCTTGAAGTACTACATTTCTTTCCTCAGATTATAGAAACAGTCTGCTCGTTTTCCCTTGTGGTGAAACTATCCCCTGATGTGTAGAGGAAGGCTCGGGCTGCTGTTGTGGTGCTTTTTTCCTCATTCAATGTTTTAACAGAAAATATCGCCAGGTTCATGCTCAATAATCCGCGCACATACGCCGACCCCTTGCAATTCAGTGTTCAACGTTCAACCCGGGATGCTTTTTCAATGGCCAATAACGGAAAGAAGCCTAAGACAGAGCCCCGCAAAATCCGCTTCAACTTCGCAAGACGGTAAGTATGATGTTTGTTTTTAGTACCATGCTAACTCTCTGCTCCCCAGTATCTCAGCTGTCCAGGTATGCACGACTCCTCGCAGAAGCACCGAATATCTCATGGAGATAATGAAACTTTCTCTCTGATTCGGCATGAACACCTTCTAGATCTCGTCCCTAGGCGTCGTTAGCAACCGAGTATAGAGCTTCAAGTTAGTCCTGATAACGTGGCATGGCCTACTTCACGGTTGTAGGCCTTTGTACAGGTACCAGTTGCTGTCTTGATGTCTTGTTATTCATGCTTACCTCACTCTATCGTGTCTTCCCTCATCAAATACAACCTGCGATATAATATTATCATGGAGTCCATGCCGACATTTATGTGGATTCACAAGCAAACTTAAGAAGTTCAGATATTCACTCGAAGGCAATTGAATGTGGATATCGAATATTTCCGTTGATCTCCAAGCCGATCAAACATTGTCCAACTCTCTTAGTATGATTCGTACCACATCTGCATCGTTCTTATGATAGTCTAGTAATTTCCAGCATCCACAGAACCAAAGCACATCGAACGACTAAAAAGGAACAAAAAATATGGACTTGTGGTCCCGCACAATGCGACACTACTGTTGTGGATGGTGCCACAATTCATGGGTGAGTATTAAAGGCATCAAACCAGCTCTGTCTCTTAATCACATCATGGAACCTACTCCCATCTCATTCAGATTTAGCGACCTTCCAGCTGAGCTCGCTCTCATCATTTTCAAATATGCTGCACAACCAGATTTTACTCAACCTGACACTTGGGGTAGCAAAACTCCATACTCATCCGCCCTTGCACTATCTCTCGTCTCCAAAATTGTCAGGCGCACTGTGCTGCCGGAACTTCTGCACACAGTGTCATTGCCAGAAGCTCGCCACGTGGCAGATTTCATACAGGCTCTACGTATGCAGAAAACATACATCGATCAACAACAGCATGATCTATCTCTTGATTACACATCTCACGTGCACAGGATGTGGTTCGGATATTTTCATGGGCCTTTGTCAAACCCGCAGCCTACCTTCATTAGCAGTTCTATCCCTTCTGCGGCTAAGCCTGACTCAGAGTCAGATGTCAGCTTGCTGGCTCCGGTAATCCTTGCCGCACCGTCCCTCGCGATTGAATGTGCGAGTCTGTATGTACTTTCAGATTGCCTCAAGTATGCGTGTAACTCCGATGTCGACTTGAATGTCGACCACAAAGATTTCCCGCTTCCTTGGAGCACGAAAAGTTTGACGTTATCGGGCAGTGTCACTTCTCGATGGTGGCCCTTCATAGGGGATATCCATGGATATACTTTCCTCACTTCCATCCAACACCTCACCCTACTTGCTCCCTCACCCTACGAGGTGCCTTTGTGGATGGCACGGGCTCCTTTCAAGCAACTTCAGACATTTTCGATGCTCATTTCAGACGGGGAACCTCCGGTCGCTGAATATGCCCCTGCGTGTAGCGCCAAAGCGACACAGGTAGAACTGGTCACGTTCCCTGCTTCCCTACTACCGGACCATTGGACATTCAAGGAAATCAGGGCGTATATAGAAAATGGGGTGGGAACCATTCCATCTGTTCCACTACCAGTGCCCCGTTCTGGCGACTTGTGTACACTTTGTCTGGATTGCCAGAATATTTGGGCAAATGGATGTGAGGGCCCCGGGCGAATGGTACAAATGCCAGACTGATTATTATGCATATATGTACTCGTTCGCAATGGGCTGTCTGATTTATTGTACACTACTACACTTGGACACGATCAAAACTTTTGCTGACTTGTCTGCTGCGACCAATTCAATAGCAAGCACTACTTAGTCGTCTCTAATTCCACGTCGCCGGTGAGCGAGCAATTCCCATAAGAAACGCTGAGGGCTGCGAATGACTGATGGAACATCGGACATCAGAAGACACTAGTAGTGACTATCCGCAGCAGATGTGGTTCTTGTTCTTCTTGCGATCGCCACTAGCCCATCAAGGATTGATTGATTGATCGATCACCTTGATCATACTATGCGCATGCAGCTAGTACACCTTCAAGTTCGGTTCATGAGGTCAGCTAGCATTATAGTGAATATGGCTGATCAAAACTCACTCGACCCTTTGCCGAGTTGTAGTAGGCGCGCAAGGTAGCCTTGATCATGACCTATGTGCGCCGACACAGATGAGATTACCATTCTTCAGGTGGGATAAGCTCGTTCCTAAACTCTTATTGTTAGAGCTTTGCGGTCTCGTGGTTGAAGACAGTCTGGCAACACAGTCGTCCAGCGAAGCGGGTCCTTTCTGGAGTCACATCAGCGATAACTTGCAGCCGTCGATGGGCATGATCTGAGGTAGCTCAAGCACTGGTATCAATACGTGCCCCTCTTCAGAATCTGGTGTGCGTTATCATATAACATCGTCCGAACGCGTGGTTCCTGACCTGTCTCATTCTCAGACAGTCCTGCCATCTCAGCTACTTGTCAATTTTGCGATATAGACTGCTCACCCAGAAATATCCGAGGTGGCTCAGAGACCAGTGTCGCAGGACGCCTTGCGGAAAAGATTCATAGGACTACTCACTCGGATGGGAAGACCTGAGAAGACCCGCACGAACTGAGGAAGTTAACGAGACCAGATTCTCATTTGGCGATGTCCGTACATAATTATAACTATAACGGACTTGGGCGGACAAAAAGTTTTCGTGATTTTCCTTGAAACCGTTCATCTCCAAATAAAGAAATGCCAAGCCTAGTAGTAGGTTTAGTTTAATGCTTCAATTTCTTGTGGTCCAAACTGCCCTTTCCTTTAGTTGAACTCGCAAGGGGCTTCCTCTCTAAGTTGTTCTCAGCGCAATGCCTAACCATTCTTGCTCTTTTTTTCCCGTAAGAACTCGATATTCGAGGTAAGTGCCCATCGGCTGGGTGTCCTCGCGTAGAAGCTTGCCTCTCCTGACCTTGAATATCAATAGGGTTCGGGAGAGAAGCTCTTACTACGAATGATAACCAGTACAAGTCGAACGCCGAGTTTCTGGCCCCGAGGACATAGTATCATACTCGCACCCTTTCGGACTCTTGCCACGGTCCTATGCTCAGGCTCCGAGAGTTCTCATTCAGAACGTAAGTGCACAATGACGAAATCGTTTCTACTCGGCCCCGCGTAATGGAGAAGATAACGCCGCGTAAGCAAAGTCTCTTCTCCACAACTATGATAGCTAGCCTGAGATCGCCCTAGCGTAGGCAGACCAAGATAGTCATTCGTTGCATTACGACTAGCTAAGTTTGGGGCTCCTGCGAAGTAACCGAGTCCCGGTTTGGCCAAGCGTAGATCGCCAAGCCTGCGGCGCCCTCGATTACAGTTTGGTAGCATGTGCTCTCGCCTGGCAAGTGCCTAGAACATCAATTAGTGTTTTGCGCAGGCGGCTTAGTCCGATGGCGTGTCCTTTCATTCCTATTTACAAGTTATGCACGCGGTGGAGCAGTAATTGAAGGGTAAGTCCAACCTTGCAGCATCTGGCAGGCGCGCCTGAGCGAACGGGACTTCTGCTTCTCCTTGAGCCGTATGGGTAGGTAGCTAAAGCAGGCCATGCGTGTAGAAGCGAAGTTTTTAGTGGTGAGTCTATTCCAGCAACAGTTCTCTTTCAGACTCGCAAATGATAGCAGATAATGACCGATTACCAACCGGGAACCCCCTGACCTGCTGACTCGGACTCTTGCCATTACGAGACGGTCCGAGGAATGTCTGCAAAGACCGAGCCTTGCCGCGATCTAGAATTAGTTGAGCGCCCGCGCTACAAGATGAAACTATGATTCCAATCGTTCCTAGTCAACCCTTGGCCTCGAAGCAAGTAGCTTCCTTTTTAATTCTTTAGCGGAGCAAGTCCCGAGCGACCTTGCTTTTAAGGCGGGGCCGAAGCCCACTCGACCAGAATGAAGGCGTCTGTAGTATGTCACAAACGCGGCCGGTACGATTAACATAGAGCCGCGTAATGAGCCTGGTGTCAAGAGGCTATGTTTTTTGTCAGATAGGACAACAGGTAGCCATCTTTCTTTTCATACTCCGGTACATACATGTGTTCTGCGTGTGTTTCATGGCGCGTGAATATTTGGAGTTGGTGGGCTTCGTGCGAGTGTCAGTGTCGGGAAGACTGATCCGTGTTGCCAATGCAAGTGGGAAATCATGTGGAGAATTCACCAATGACGTTTTCGATACTCTACGTAAATCAAACTGTATCTTGACCGTAACTTGTATTTCTACATTCAGTGCATCAACGAAGTTGCCGCGGTGGTCGCCGCCATCATCGATCACTACATTGTCTTCGCCGTCGTTAACGCTGAGGAAGAACGTGTGAGCGAATTAGCGGGCGATAACCAAACTTGGTGCAACTACAGGCCGAAAACTGAGTCTTGTGTGATCTCTACCACGCAGCCAACGCCAGCACCAGTGACCCGTACGTGACGATATCTCTCTTGTTTACCAACTGTCCACGATTGCCCTAGAGCACTGATTGTCAGATACGGGCGCGATGGACAGGCCAGCTGGGCCCCGCCAGCCAGACAAGCGAAATGAAGCATACGAGTCCATCTTTGGCCGGCCATCCGCTTCTCACCATCAGGCAGGACAATATCCTGGCCAGCCTGTTGCGCAGCAGCTGCAATATGCACAGTCAGTACACGGCATGCCTGTGCATGGTGTCCAATACCACAACCAACCATACCCCGCACACTACCACCACGACAGGAGGACATCATACTCCCAACGTCAAAATTACTATCCAAATCACTTACCGCAACACCCTCAGCAGCACCTGCAGTCACCATACAGGCAGTCATATCCACATACAGCTGCATCTCAGCAACAACTGCCACCTGCACACCACCATGCACAGCACACCCGTCCACACACTCTGGCGCCTCCCATGATCCATGGTCGTGCTAGATCTGTCGTCAGTTCACCCCATGCTGCTGGTATAATCTCACCGCTACCAGACGATCCGCCCGATGAATCCCTCGAGGCTCTTACGAGAGCAGGCCTCACCCCTGCACAGGCTTATCAGGCCCAAGTTTACCGTAATAGTCCTACCAATCAACAGCAGCCCAACGAGCAGGCCAATTCCACAAGGGAACCCTCTTTGAACGGCAACCATCATCGTGTCTCTAACGACGTGCCCCTTTTGGGCGTCAATCTTAACCTTGAGGATACTCGCTTCAATATCGATTTTGGCACTGACGATCACCGAGGCCCAGAAGAGTCCACAAGCGAATTGCCATGGACCATTCCGAACACAGGTGCAAATGCAAGAGAATGTACACGTGGGTTCCACTCTCCCATATCTGGTCCCATTGCACAATGAGCTCATAATGTCCCCCTTCCAAAGCAATGGCTCCCCTCCCAAGGGCACAGCACTATCGACAAGCAAGCCCTCTTTCCATCGCATCTGATCAGAGCAATTCATCTGCCAGTTCACGACCACAACCCCTTCAGCTCGACACCACTCTCATGTCCACTCGTAATTCCCTCATCAGTAGTTCCCCTGCTACATCCTCCCATGCTGCCGCTTCCACCAGTCGTCGATCCTCAGACTCTATTCGTACGATGCCTGGTGCTGCCTTTCGTCGTGACCGCACTCCACAAGATCGGTCCATGTCCATGTCAGCTGCTTCGGGCAGTGTCCGCACTATGATCGATCGCGGCTCTCGCGCCCCGAACCCATTTATGGCTGGGGGTCGCAACAGCCCCACCACCTCTGCACGACCACCTCGCCGAACACCCATTGTATACCCTGCACTCCTCTCTCGCGTGGCGGAGGCTTTTCGTGAACGCATCAACCTCCAGGATCGTATTAAGGACGGTCTCACATACAAGGATGCCTTCGATGGTCGTGAGGCGGTCGACAAGATCTCATATATAATCAAGACTACCGACCGCAATCTCGCCCTACTTCTTGGTCGTGCCCTCGACGCACAAAAGTTCTTCCATGACGTCACCTATGACCATCGGCTCAGGGATAGCGCTGCAGAGCTGTACCAGTTCCGCACGAAATTGAGCCCATTCGTGAGCGGTGAGCTGCAGACAAACTTTGGGGATAGGGACGATGATGGTGATTTGAAACCGGAGCGGCCATCGCCTGGCCCTCAAGATTGTGGATCGAGGCCCTTTGGACAGGGATCGAACGACTCGCATGATGACACACAGGAGAAGGACGCTTCACCTATTGTCGAGATCCCTGAGCCGCATGGACCCCAGGGATCAGAGAGTGCCGATGAGATGCCCCTTCCTTCGGGCGTTTTCACGCTTCTTACAGACTGCTACTCGCCGACGTGCACGCGAGATCAGCTGTGCTATAGTATTGCATGCCCTAGGAGGCTTGAGCAGCAGTCACGACTGAACATGAAGCCACAGCCTGGGCTCAAGAAGCAGATATCGAGGGAGAGCTTGGGTGACTTTGTGGTGCGTGTGATGCAGACATCCTTTCCTTAGCGCTGATTACGTTCCATCTGAGCAGGAACCTGGTACGCTATGGATACACTCCGTCCCGCAAGAGGTGGTCAACAGTGTCTCCGACGCCGAGAAAAGGCGCCAGGAAGCTATTAACGAAGTCATATACACGGAACGTGACTTTGTCCGCGACATGGAATACCTTCGCGATGTGTGTCTTTGTACTTTGTACTATCTCTCGTGGATTAATCTTCTGCACAGGTCTGGATAAATGGACTGAAAGACAGTGACATCATCCCCGCTGAACGTCGTACGGACTTTGTGACACAGGTCTTCTGGAACATCCACGAAATTATCGCAGTAAATACCCGCCTTCGAGACGCGCTCAACAAGCGACAAAAGTCATACGCTGTCGTGGAGCGCATTGGGGATATCCTTCTTGATTCTGTGCCGCATTTCGCGCCCTTCGTAAGTTACGGTGCCCACCAACTGTATGGCAAGTATGAGTTCGAAAAGGAGAAGAGCTCCAATCCAGCGTTCGCACAGTTTGTGGAAGTGAGTCGATTTTTCCGTCGTGGTTTTTCTTGGTGGTTGATGCCGTTTCTTTAGACTACGGAAAGATTGCCAGAGTCGCGCAAGCTTGAGCTCAATGGATACTTGACGAAGCCGACCACGCGATTAGCTCGATATCCACTGCTTCTGGAAGCGGTTTTAAAGCACACGCCTGATGATAACCCAGACAAGCAAACACTTGCGCAGGTGGTTATCATGGTCCGCGAGTTTCTAGGGAAGGTGAACGTAGAGACGGGAAAGACAGAGAACCGTTTCAACCTTCTACAACTCGACCAGCAGCTCGTGTACAGGCCAGGGGAGCAAGTGGTATGCGTCCACTTCGTCCTCGTGATGGGTTGCTGACAATGTTCGATAGGACCTGAAGCTGCAGGATCCTGGTCGTGAACTCGTATACAAGGGTGCTCTGAATAAAAGAGGTGGTGGGCAAGGGGACAGCGGAGACCTGCTTGTATACCTCTTTGACCATGCTCTACTAATGGTGAAGCAGAAGAGCAAACACGAACAATTCAAGGTCTATCGACGAGTAAGTGCCTGGATCCTATAGTGAATGCCTGTTTCTCAGCCTTATCCGCACCGCAGCCGATACCCCTCGAGCTCCTCTTCGTGCACGTCACAGATGAATCCAATAACTCCAATCGTCCTGCTAACGCTCGTCAGGGGCATAAAACGCTCACGAAGAAACCCAGTTTCAACCGAGGTACACCGTACGCGCCTGCCATTCCAATTAAAGTCGATGGCAAAAGTGGATTCGCCATCACGTTCATACATCTAGGGCGCAAGTACTACCAGATGACGCTTTGGGCAAGCACATTTGTAAGCCACCGCAAATGGGTCGAAACCATCACGAAGCAACAGGAGTCTCTCCGTGAGCGGAGCACAGTGTTTGAGACAATCACCTTGTGCGAGGGCTTCTTCCTCGGGCAGAATAGGGTGAATTGCGCTGCGCCGTTTGGTGAGTGATTCTGGTGCATACTCCGCGGAAAAGGATGTTGATGAGATGTAGCGTACGGACGGAGAATCGTGTACGGGACAGATGACGGAATCTACTTGTCGGATTTGAATCATCCAAACAGGGACCCAGTCAAAGTGCTGGCTCTACTGGATGTTTCTCAAGTCGATGTCCTGGAAGAGTTTCAATTGCTCATAGTACTTTCTGGTCAGTCTTCATCATTTCTGCGTGGTATTTTGTTTACAGGCTTTGCTCTAGAACGACAAGTCATCACATTCCCGCTAGACGCTCTCGACCCCATGGACCCAATGTCTGGCTTGAAGCGGGCGAAGAGGATATCGTCGCACACAACATTCTTCAAGGCTGGCATTTGCCTAGGAAAAGTCCTTGTTTGTATCGTCAAATCGAGTCCGCTGTCTAGTACGATTAAGACATTGGAACCAATTGACCAGAACATTCGCGGAAGGAGTAAACCGACGTTCCGTAAGATTTTGCAAGGCGGGAATGATACGCTGAAGGCGTTCCGAGTAAATTTTCTCATGTGTATGGTGTCCAAGTGGCTCATTTCGCCGTAGGAATTCTACATTCCCGTGGAGTCGAGCTCGATCCACTTCCTGAAAACGAAGCTCTGTGTAGGGTGCACGAAAGGCTTTGAGATTGTCGACCTCGAGAGTCTTGATACGCAGGGACTTCTCGATCCAGCCGACACTTCCCTTGACTTTGTACGGAAAAGAGAAAACCTTCGGCCGATGGCTATCTACCGGGTAGATAACGAGTTTCTGCTTTGTTATGACGGTAAGTGGCCAGAATGTCTCTCTTCCTGCGAATGACTCATCCGTTCCTAGAATTCGCATTCTATGTGAACAAAAACGGTTGGCGGTCTCGACAAAATTTCATGGTGCACTGGGAGGGGTCGCCTACTGGTTTTGGTACGTTCAGGCTCCAAGCACGTTGGGCCAGCACTAATTAGTTCAATCAGCCCTTCGCTTCCCATATGTTTTAGCGTTTGAACCTACGTTCGTGGAAATACGGCACGTCGAAACGGGTCTTATGTCGCAAGTCATCCAGGGGAACAACCTCCGTCTTTTATTTGCTGACATGCCATCGTCTGCAACGCATTCAGGTAATGCGCAGCAAAACCAATACTACGGGCAGCAGATGTATAGTCAATATCAGCAGCCGACTCCGTCACTTTATGGGCAGTCGTCAGTATACGGACAAGGATACGGTTCACCTGCCCATTCCCCCCAGTCTCAGCATGCACGCCTCATACCATCGGGGCGCGACGAGATCTTGATGGTCTCTGACGACCGCGTGTTAACATTACGAATGGCTGTGGGACAGCATGTTATTTGTGATACGGTATCGCTGGCGTCATCGCGATAACTGTAGGTATTTTTGTTTTGCGTGTGTTGTGATATTCAGATATGTTATACGAGTAACATCTTTTGTGATTTTGTCTGTTAATTCGTGATACTAGTACCCTCATCATAGCATATATTTCTATTGCATTTGTGTAGTTCAAACAATGAAATTGATCAATTGATATATAATGTCCATGTCGCTCCGAGAATAGCGTTTCCAAGGGACGTTATTACCATTTTTAGATGACTGAGATCCCATTTTTGGCACATGTTTTCTTTTATAATTATTTTTCTCGCTCTCTTTCACCAATCTCTGTCCCTCCCGTCACTCTTTTGACTTTGTCTTGGCCAGGCCCATTTCGTCATGCAGCTGCAAGCTTTTGTCGCTCTTTTATCACTTCTCGGGGCCGCCAATGTCAATGCTAATCCCGAACGTCATGCTCGTCTCGCAAAGAGACAGAATGCTGGGGCCGTCGTCACGGTTGGTTCAAGCTCTGCTAGTTCGACTTCCTTATCACCCGGTGCCCCAACAACGAGCTTTACTTCATCGACTGCATCGGCCTTGGGTTCACCCGTGCCAACCACACCTGTTGGCACCACTATCCCTCCGCTCGTTAATATCACTTCCGGCATGGCGACCCCTTCAACAGTCCCTCTCTCTGCTACTTATTCCGCAGGCGCTACACCTTTAATTTCCGGCGCTCCAGTTTTACCTACTCCATGTAGGTTTTCGTACCCGTGCGTTTTTCAGTGCTGACAATATTGTGAATAGTCGTATTTCAAGCCGCAGACTGGCCTACTCAGGACCAGATTGCACCTACTGGTTTGTGTTGTAAAAAATTACGATGAGTTACGAAGCATAATACTATTATTACGCAGATTCCGAGGAGGTTTCCGAATGGATGGAAGAACTCAATGGTTTCAATATACCCGATATCACTCCTACCGTAGATGGCACTTGCCAAAGCGACCCTGCTGCTGCTGCGGAAGCTGCTAGTCGTGGTTGGTGGACTTGCGGTGGCTATACCCGTGTTACTGATATCACCGCTTGTCCGAATAAGTTGACATGGGGCGTCAGCTTTGATGATGGCCCAGGTTTCTACAGTATGTGTATTTTTCTAGCATTATATCACTTAAAGTTGATGTTTTTGAATAGCTCAGTGTGTTATTTTTGACATTCTTGACTGTATTTTTCTTATCGATTGACAGGGAGCTTCTTGACTACTTGGCTTCCAAGAACATGACCTCGACGTTCTTCGTTATTGGTTCTCGTATCGTCGAGCGTCCCCAGGTTCTTGTGGAGGAGTATATGTCTGGGCATGAAATCGCTGTGCACACCTGGTCGCATCGCGTACGTTTGGTAAAATTACTCTTGCGTCTGTGGCTAATCGCGCAATAGCCTCTTACTATGCTTACTACTGCACAAGTCGTAGCTGAGCTGGGTTGGGCACGTAAAGCTATCAAGGATGTCATTGGTGTTACTCCCACATTGATGCGTCCCCCTTACGGCGACATCGACGATCGTGTTCGCGCCATTTCCCTGGCAATGGGTATGGTCCCCGTTATCTGGACTAGCACTGGTACTGGCGCAACGTTTGATACTAACGGTTAGCTATCTCAATCTTATGCTTGGATCTCGAACTTAGATTTATCTTAATCGACAATAGACTGGAAGGTTCCTGGCGGTGTGGTCACAGGTCCTCAGTCCTTTGCCACTTTTGAGGCTATTCTATCCAACGCAACTATGCTGAACACTGGGTAGGTGCATTTCGGGTTACTTTCGTTCGACTTCACTCACTTTCACCTAGATTTGTTGTTCTGGAGCACGACTTATATGCACAAACTGTCGATCTTGCTATTGGCTACACGTTGCCTGCTGCTATGAATTTTACCCCTACGCTTACTGTTCGTAATTTCCCTTATGTGCAGACAATTATCTGACCCTCGTTATGCAGCTCGACTCCATTGGTCACTGCAACGGCATCCCAAGTACGAACCTGTATCGCGAGAGCAACCAAAACACGAGCTTCCCCTACGCGAATAGCACTAGTGGTGACACGTCCGTTCCTAGCGGCTCAGGCGGGAAGGGTAGCACCAGCGCGACTTCTGGTACTTTATCGAATGCCATAATGCCTATATCTATGGTCGTTGCTTCATTGTTGGCTGCTGGCGGCTCCCTCCTCATGTGACCTAACGGACATACCATTTACGCAAATTTGACTAATCTAGACGATGATGGACGTACGGCAGCTGTATATATATTTCGCCCCCTTTGTGGACAAGTATGTTTTTGTGGATGCTGCTCTATCTACTCTGATTCTAAGTACCCCGTTTTCTCTGTTCAATATGTTGTAATTTTGTGTGAAATTTGGCACAGAGGTTTTTGCAGAGAGCAATAAACCTGCTGGCAGATAAACATAGTACTTACGGTGATAGCCGATAATAAGGCTTGGATCCGGAGGACAGTTAAGTTACGGTTGCTGCCAGCCATATCGATTCATGGCTTCACTCATCACCGCTGTTCGCTCAAGTATGCGCGCTGCTTTCTTATAACCCAGCGAGCGCTAACGTACATATCACAATTGCAGAATTACTTCAGGCAATTAGATCCGTGAATCCCCCTGGACGATGGAAGATTCTTGTGGTGGACGAACACTCACAGAAGCTGCTAGGTTCAGTTCTTAAGCAGTTCGATATCCTCGAGGAGAATGTCACTTGTGAGCCCTTGTCAGTCGGATAACTCAATTAACACTAACAGCCACATGGGTCAGTGATCGAGTCAATATCCAGTCACCGGGAACCGCAGCAGTTTGAGGCAGTCTATCTGCTCATGCCGACTACGCAGAATGTCAATCGCATCATCAAAGACTTTAGTGACGGCCGCCAGCAGTATCTTGGGGCTCACTTATTCTTCGTCGATGGTGCGCTTTCTCATCTGACTTCCGTGTCAGTTGCATCGGTTGAGGACAGGCGTGTGCTTTAGGATTGTCGGAAACCTTATTTGAGCACTTGACGACATCCCCTGCTGAACCGCATCTCAAAGGACTGCAGGATCTGTTTGTCAACTTCTGGGGTGAGTTTTGTGCGGAGGCCACTCACGACGAAGCTTGATGTTGATTAGGGTGCTTCCGTATGCAGCGACGGAGGCGCAAACTTTCTCTCTTCAGTCACCAGGACTGTTTTTTAACACTTATAGCCCACCACGAAATGAAGCTGCATTCAAGTCAGCGCGATTGAAGCTTGAGGAGGAGTTGCGGTTTGTTAGCAAAACTGTACGCATTCAAATGCAGGTGTCTGGAACCATGTTTGTGAACTCAATTTTTGCAGATAGCAAATGTCTGCATCACCCTCAACGAGTTCCCGTACGTTCGCTACTACATGCCAACTCACCACACTCCCCTTGGTCCCCTCAAACCCAATGATCAAACGCGTGCTCCTCCGCCTCCTGAAGGCAGTGGTCGATGGCGAACCAATCTGGCTCGCGGAGACGCTGCACGCGCCTACGAGGTTGCTGACACAGACTTCGTTACGAAGTTGCTTGCATTTATGATCCAGCAGAACCTGGATGAGTACAGGCGAATCAATCCGGAGTTCCCTGTGAGTGCTCAACTGTTGACTTCGAACGGCTTGTTAAATTATTATGATGGACAACGCTAGAAAGCTTCTGATCCTCCCCGACCCCGCGGTACGCTTATAATCACGGACCGATCTATGGATACTGTCGCACCTTTCATTCACGAGTTCACATATCAGGCTATGTGTAATGATCTGCTGCAGATAGACGACGGCACAAAATACATGTGCGTCTGCGCGTGCTAGCGTGAAAGTTCACCAACAATTTTACCCACAGGTACAAGTTCCAATCATCGGTCGGATCTTACGAGGACAAGATCGCCACCCTTTCCGACGCTGACTCGGTATGGACCACTGTGCGCCACATGCACATGCGTGAAGCGATCGACAAACTCATGGCGGATTTTAACAAGTTTATGGAAGAGAATGCAGGGTTCAAGGGGGAGGGCGCTGCCAGTCTCAATGACATGAAAGATATGCTTGCAAATTTGCCTCAATATCAAGAGCAGAGAGAGAAGGTAAGTATATGCGCGTGCCTGCCCGTATCGATGGTACTAATCTTGTGGTGGCATCCAAGTTCTCGTTGCATCTGAACATGGCGCAGGATTGTATGAACCTGTTTGAGAAGCACAAACTACCGCTGGTGGCCAACGTTGAGCAGGTAGTTGTGATACATTCTTTCGATGGACAAAACTAATGCATATCCAGTGTTGTGCTACTGGACTCACCGCAGAGGGGAAGACACCGAAAACTCTTGTTGAGGAAATGGTGCCCTTGTTGGATAGCCAGGAGGTCATGTTAGTATTCATATAATCCTTCTGGGTGGCTAGCCTGATAGTCTTGCATAGAAATGCTAACAAAGTGCGCATGGTCGCGCTTTACATCCAACACCGTGATGGTGTTCCAGAGGAGGATCGCCGACGATTGTATCAGCATGCACGGCTGAGCATGACTGATCAGGACGCCGTCAATTCGTTGGTTCATCTCGGTGTTCGCATAAGCAGAGTACGCGTGTGGCAAGTGTAATTCATTATCCCACTCATGGTTGCACCCTAGGGACCTTCAGACAAGGATACGAAGAAAAAGCTCAAGCAAAAGACATCCAGCGACGATGAGTACGAGCTCTCACGGTACCGACCTCTACTTCGGACAGTCATAGAAGTATGAACACTCTTACATCTCACTGCTCTGTGCTGAATGCTATCCCCCAGGAACACTCCGCCAACAAATTAGACCCCACGCTCTTCCCCTACGTCAAAGATTCCCCAATAGTTCTGTCGCCGGCTGCAAGTCTCAAACAGACAACACCCCAAACCACGTCCCTACGCAGTGCGAAGCCTAGCTGGCACAAGGCTGTTCGGCCGAATGCTCTTGCGGAGAGCAAGCAACGTGTGATTGTGTTTGTGGTTGGCGGGATGACATACTCGGAGATTCGAGAGGCATACTCGTTGTCGACGTTGCTAAACAAGGATATCTACATAGGTATGTCATTTGTCTCATCAGGGGCTTCCGGGGTTACTGAAAGCTTGTCATCTATAGGCTCAACACACGCTATCACGCCCCGTAACTTCATCGATGATCTGAAAGTCGTTGAGATTGCGGGCGTCGGCTCACGTGCTGTGCCAAATGGTGTCTCGTTGGCAGTAGCACATAACTCATACCAAGAGTATTATGATGAGAAGTACTTCACACCAGACCCTCCTGTACCTCAACGACCCACACTTGCGGTGCCGAAGGACTCGAAACATTCCGCCAGCAAGCTTACGAAGACACCTTCATCATACTCAACGTCATCGGCGTCGCTGGTCGGCTCGGGCACGGTGGAAAAGGAAGAAAAGAAGAAAAAGAAGGGGCTTTTCCGTTTCTAGTTCCTATCATACCTCTCCTACTTAACCAATTTTTCCACTCTAACCACCCACGGACGATATTCAACGACGCGGAAGTGTGTAGACTATAATAGGGTGACGTTAATGTACCTTTTGAATTATTTCGTTTCTTAGTCGTGGATAACCCCCGAATGCGAGATAAAAATGAGATACAATGCAGGCGGTATATTACATGTGGGTCTATGCAGAATACTCCAACTTGGCTGCGAATTGCTTGAGAAAATGTGACGAACTGCAAAGAGCCTGGACTCACTCTCGTGCTTTTTAGCATCGCTGACCTTCCGTGCAGCTTTAGTGAGATCTTCTTGGACGATGTATTCTCTTCGCGGAAGTGAGCGAAAAGTGCTTGTCGTGACAAACTAGAACTCACCGGTCGTCCCTAATAGCGAACATGCCTGCTTCTGTCACCACATTCCGCAGGTCAGCACCATTGAACGCGTCCGTGAGCTGCAAGCTGGGTGAGTTGAATTCTAGATGACAACAATAGAACCCACCTTCACGATTGCTTCATAATCAATGTATCCGCTTTTGTTCACGGGTTGTGCATGGATCTTCAAAATCTCTAGTCGTGCCTGTTCGTTCGGTAGAGGAATTTCAATCTTCCGGTCTAGTCGACCAGGACGGAGGAGAGCAGGGTCAAGAGTGTCTGGCCGATTGGTTGCCATGATGAGCTTTGTCCGTCCTAGGGAGTCGAAACCATCCATTTGGTTCAATAGCTGAGAAAAAGTGAGCTTGATCCCACAACGAAAGTGCAGAACAGATACCAACCTCCATCAATGTTCTCTGAATCTCACGGTCCGCACTGGTACCCTCCGAAAACCGCCTTCCACCGATGGCGTCGATTTCGTCCATAAATATTACGCAGGGCTCATGGTCCCTTGCATACCCGAACATCTCACGCACGACTCGTGCGCTCTCACCAATGTACTTGTCGACGATAGCAGAAGATACTACTTTGAGGAAATTAGTTTGGAGAGTAGCTGCAACAGCACGGGCAAGGAGAGTTTTGCCCGTCCCTGGGGGACCGTATAGGAGGACACCCTTGGGTGGTTTGATACCGACCCGGAGGAAGAGTTCTGGGCTTAGCAGCGGTAGCTCGATCACCTGGAGAATAGTAAGTATAAAGCAGCAGGAAGAAATTATAGCAGACATACCTCACGCAGCTCTCGTACCTGCTCACCCAAGCCACCAATACCCGCGAACGATGCACCTCCAGGATCTTCCAAGCTCATCTTGTAAACCATAGGATCTACTTCTCTTGGCAGGATACGCATGATTGTGAGGGTGGTCATGTCAAGAGAAACTCGTGTGCCTGTCTTGAGTTTCTCTGCTGGTAAGGCGGGACGGTAAGAGACAACATATCGAGGTCCCGACGATGCCTTTACAATGACTATGCAGTGATTGAGCGCCCCAACAGATGAAGAAACCTAATGCGACTGACATCGTTCGTCATCTAGTTGTTTCATGACCTCTCCAATAATCTGTCCAACGGACTGCACGGCCTTGATGTCGTCCTCGGTCTTCGCGTATTCAGCCTCAAGATCTTTCAAAGAAAACCGCACTGTATGTTAACAAGCGTTAGAAAGCTTCAAATACTCCTGATTCGACAAACGCTAACGATTCTTGAGACTCTGACTCGAGTTCTCGTGACTCTGCATTTTCTATAACAGAGTTGAAATCAGCAGAAGTGCAAGACAGGCAGCTCACTTACATCCCGGTAGCTCTTGAGAGCATCCTGTCTTCGTTGGTCCATTGTGCTAGATGATGTCGGTTCTTAAGAATCAGATGGACGCGAAGGGACGCGTCAGTAAAGACTTATTTGGAACTTGCACAATTATCATGGCTTAGTAAGTCGAGACTTTTATCGGCCTGGTGGTCTAGTAGTATGATTCCTTGTTAGGGTTGACCCAAATTCGAGGAGGTCCCGGGTTCAATTCCCGGCCAGGCCCAAAGTTTTTGCTTTTTACTTACGTTGACGCCCATGTTCAGAAATACAGAAACTATTCACGCACTGGTAGGATAACATTCTCCAGATGTTAAGGAATGATTTAATTGTGACGTTTCATCAGCCTGACCGTCCCTTGGTGTTCTATCTTACCCGGTATATACACGGCGCGACGCTAGCGCCTACTACTACATTGAGCTACATTGTCGATGACTGACTTGGAAGCCTGAGCAACAACTCATATAACTGTATTTCTCTTACGTTTCTCGCTATCAGAATCTGAACTAGCTCGTGGCTGATGATTCTCCATGGGCGAGTATTATTAGGCAAGGCTGTCACGGTGGTATCCTCTTTTTACATGAAGAAACGTCTCAATTGAATGGGGATGAACGCTTGTACATAGTATGAGTATGTCAAATTCGTTGAATATCGAATAGAGAAAGACTGGCGCTGAGACGTACCAAAAAAGAACCGGTGGCAGACTATCGGATGAGATTGTAGTCGGAGGGGTCATTTGCATTAACCATCCTATCCTATAAATTTAAAGCAAGATGATTGTGGGATGCCAAGACTACTGAAGATGAGGGGTGACTTTGCTTTTGATAATTACAGAGCCAACACATCAAAGCATTCGAACGATGACATTCATTATACGGCATGCGTGCGGCGCACTTAAACTCCAGTGCAATCATTTTGTACAAAAGACGTGTATATGTCAGCAATAATGCATGTAAATCATGTATCCTAAAAACTATATGGCTCCCGCCGTCTGATGCATTTGGGTTGTGGTCTTTTCCATTCCCCTTTGTTTGGGTCTGGCCATAAGGAAGCACTGTCCCATTGGACTTGAAGTGGTGCGCCGGGAGTCAGGAAAAACCCAAACGGCCAAGTAGGCAAATAGCACATCTCCTACACGACGAGGTCAGTCATTTTGCAAACAAGTAACTTGATTTTGTTACCTCGAAACCACAGGCCGGTCGGCACTTCACCCACACGCTCCAGTCCAACCAGGAGATTAACTGTGTCACGTCCTCCTTCCATTCGCCCATGAGAGTATGTATGTGATCAACTTCAGGGCGTTGTTTCGCAGGATAAAGAGCATCAACTCCAAAATTCATGCCGGCAGCCCACATTTTTGTGGCGACACGACAAATTTCATGCGTAGTTTCCCGCACCGCCTGCAGGAGTAAACGTTCGGAGGGCGTCAATGTTGTTCCACGAAACGCTATGGAGGCCGCGTGCGATGTAGCACATTCCCGAAAAACTGGCGCAGCCCACAAATTTGTCGCGTTAACGGTGACGGAAATATTGGGAGGCAGAGCTGCAAACACAGTGTAGGGCAGAACGACAGTGCGCAGTTGTCTCTGAATCTGTTGTGCGTGGTCAAAGATTGACCCATCGTCCAACGTTGGGTCCAAAAGGTGCTGTATGAATTCCAGGCGGCTGGCATATCGATCGACCACCACGCGCAAAACGGTTTTCCAGTCAATGCCGCTGGTTGTCGAGGGCAGTCGTGCTAGCGCTTGAGCTAGCCTGTCTTGGACATGTTCTATATCCTCCAATGATATTCCTCCTACTCGATGGTCCCACCGGTCCAAGCCTACACGGCGTGGCACCAGGGAGGGAACAAGAGCGGTGTCATAGAAAGAAACGAGCCCAGAAAAATCAAGCATAATCCGGGTTTCTCCTGGATAATTTTCGTACCATGAAGCAGAGTGCATTAATTCAAAAGCGTAATGCACTGATGTCCGAGAATAAATCAGACCTACGTCAAAACATGGACACAGTCGCTCACTAGTATTGGGGTCCTGTGGCAGATCCGTTGGGTCTGTGCCGATGCGAATGCTCTCGAGATTTAAGAACGAAACGACCTCCATGTGAGAGGTGAAGTTGCAAATCAGGATTTCACTATGACCGTCGTCAATAACAAATTACCAAGGAACTACGCCCGGGTTCGCACAAATTCATTTCCATCCTAAGACTCACAAATCAGCATCAGGCATTCACGCGCACTCCCGACATCCAACGAACCTCACAAAGCCATTTACGTCATACTTCTGACCCCATTTACACAGATCCTTTATGCGCTGCTCTTCATTATTCACCCACTCGGGTTTCATTTCCGACCATGCCACAAGATCTTGGGTGTCCATGGTGCCCTCAAGGATGTTCACAGCGCTGCTTCCGTCAAAATAGAGCACTTTCATCGGCCGAGTGACTGTAAGGGTGAGGTGCCAGCACCCTGTCTCGATTGGCCCTTGGCAGAAAAGTATGGAGTGGTCTGGCTCTACGGCCACCCAATCCAGGACGGTCGGTAAATGTGGACCGGTGGTGGCTCCATGATAGAGGAGAGTGCCCACGGGAATAGTCCCTGGGACTATTGTATGACCTGTAGGGCGCAAATGATGAATCGCGAGTCATCTGAGTGGAGTTCATTATTTTCAGACATACCAATACGATGACGAGTATTTGCCCAGTGTTGAAGCAGGGAATTGGCCGTTTCGAACACCAGATGTCCTGTCGCGTTCACCACAGGTCCTTCATCAAGGTCCCATTGTCCAAGATCAGTATCGACCCCCGGCGGGTAAAAGGATGAATGCGTATGACTCGACAGAGGTATCTGTGCAGTCAGAACCCGTTCAAAGGCAAGAAAAAGCCAGACGGTTGCGGCTTTCCTCGTAAACAGCATTTCGACGAAGGGCCAAGGACCTTTGTAAGCTTAGTTATATACTCAGTCACTGGGCGTATTCGTTTGATTTCCCTTTATGCGACCCTTTCCGCGGCTATAGTACTGCAGTGACGGGCGAATTAGATAGCAGTTTTCGATGTTCATTATTCTATAGTTCATGATTGTCTTCCAGCCATATCGACATATGATCGATGATAGGAATAATGACGGAAAATTGACGCAGTATTATTTCCTGGATTGTTGTGCGCAGCGACGATCGTGGGATGCTTAGTCTGCCGTGACGGTAGTCAGAAGGAAGATAATGCAATAAGGCTGAACAGTACTCCGCTCGTACTAACATTGCAACATTTCTGTTTTGCACAGCGTCACACGCTGTCACCTTACGTGAGGTTTGTCATGTACAACTGCTTAAACGCCGCAGACCATGTCGCGAGGCAGACCGCGTTCTTAGCACCTGCTGCAATCACCTTTCTCCTAGTAAAAGAGTCTGTTAGCTAGGGAAAGAAGATGGCGGGAATGGCAGCGATTTCGAACCTCAAGTTCTCGTCAGCGGCCTACCACTACCCCTGAGTACTAGTCTAGACTGAGCCACCTAGTGGGGGGAGGGCTTTGCAACATATACGACGACGTCTCTGCACCGAGAGATCCCTTTTTGGTTCGGAAACGACCGAAAAGAAAAACTCGATGAGTCGGTTTAGGGTTTCGATGTGCTGAAGGCGGGGTCTGAAGCTTCCTACCCCCGGGGCCAGCCCGGGGGTGGGCAGGACCATGTGTAGCAAGAATCAAGGATAACACTCCAAGTAATCTATGAGACCACTAGATGGCAAGTCCAAGTCCTTCAAGTTGCATTGCGATTCCATAACTACCACTGTTGCCGGCACCACTAGTCCCTCGTACGACATAATTTAACTATCTTATAAGGCATCCATAGCAAATCCATAGGCTATCGTTGCCTGGAATCCCCATGGATCATAGGCCTACCAAACACATAAACTCACAGCTGTTGTAATTGGTCGAGAATCTTACCCCTACAAAAGGAGTACAGATGCTCAGACAAGAATTGCAGGCATCGATGCAAATACCTACTGTGTCTTTCAACAAAATTGATGAAAGATTTGTTGTATGCTATCGGTGATGAGAAGGAAAAAAAAAACTCATAATGTGAGGAGACATATACATATATGCACCAGTATGTGAGAAGATTCATTAGCGCAGCGCCAATTTGTTGGACTCGCAAACATACACAGCGTCTATTTCTCTAATGTAGTAAAACTTGTTCGGCCTCCGCTTACAACATGCACTGAGATATGAAACGGTGACAAGGGACCAGCGCCGCTTCGACTGCAAATGGTCAGTGGGATTCTACTTACCCAGATCAGTTCAATCTATAGATCCATTCCTGGTGAGATGGCTCCGCTGATGGAACAAACTGATCCCACCTCTTGTCCGAATGCTAGTGCTGGAAATCTCGTAAATTTTTGAATAAGATCTTGCTTACCCCAGTCGTATACCAGAGCAGCAGAAGAGAGAACTACGAAATCGCAGTAGAAGGTTAGATGGAGACATAATGCTCTTTATCCGATGACTCTCCACGAACCTACGAAATAGCTGAGAGGCCACACGAGGAAAAATAACACTCACAAGACAACACAGACATCTCAACATTTTGTCCTTCATTGTGACAGACCTCTTGAGACATCTGTTCCAGTGTTCTCCTTCTGTTCAGACTTGATCCGGTCCTTATATATGTTAGAACATCATGGACATAGTATGAGATGGAGACAAGAACTCACAGCCGGAATGTGACGCGCAATGACTTGATGGTTGCACTCTCGTACGCGCAGGGGTCAAAGTGCAAACGATCACATAACAGCACATACTGTTTGCAGCATTCTGTAAAGCTCATCTACAATGGAAATCGAAAAATCAGCAGCAATCCCACATGCATACCCAGCTTGATGTTTTCAGCAACCCGTCTCAAGTTCGTCAAACTTTGTGGCCAGTTCACTAAACTTGGAGACATATCTGATACGACAACTTCAGACACTGTCGGAGAATCTGAACCCATGAACGATCACAGCTGTCATCCTCGAATTTATCCCCTCGAAAATCCTGTTGCCTTTGAAAGGTCAGGGATATCCTCTTCTGTATCCCGGCCTTGCCTCGCGACTAATGTTGGGAATAAAAGAGGATGGGAAGCTGCAGCGGCCCGAAGAACTGGCGGGGGAGCACACCGTAAAGCTGCACAACTTGGAACCCCAGCTCTACGAACAGGATCCACTGGAGTCGTAGACACGGTGTGCGCCAGATATACTGCGAAACGCTGGAGCACGGGGAATAACGCACACAGACAGAACTTACTATGGATGAGTGATAGCCTATAGGTGACAGTTCCACCTTCGTCATGATTGTTGGACTTGAAGGACAGCTCCATAAGTCACACCAGAAGGGTCTTTGCCGTGGCAAATCGAGTCACTTGCAGGCCATAACTTCGTGGGCGGCTACAACAATGACTACCCGGCATGCGGATATTCGACGTATCAGTAGTTGATCAATAGGCAGTGTTCATGAATACTGCTAATAGAATGATTTACGCACTCAGATGGAGGCTCATGAGTTGTGCTTTGGCTTGTGCTTACCCGGTAAGTCCATATAATTCTGGAAAGTGGTACGATTACATAGTACTTACTCCAGGGAGAAACCATTGTGCTTTGTGTACCCGGATTCCCAAGCAGTAAGGGCTAGTTTTCGTAGTCTTGAACTGTGATTTCTGAATGTACTTTGGTGGTGTGCAGATACAGTTCTTGCCCATCAGCTTCGAAAGAAATTCTGAATAACTCACTGCTGCGACAATCCATTGCTTCCAACTCTAAACTTACACGTCTTCCATCCTGTAAATAACATGCATCAAACAAGCACCACGCTGTCCAACACTGAAAACCCAGCTGCAACACCGCCCTCATTACTCTCTGTCCCCTTGGTCCTCACAAGCCATCCTACCTCCCTCTCCACCACCTCTCCCTCTCCAAATAACGCGTACCCAAAGATACCCAGCTCAGAGATGACCTCTACGCGTACGACTTTCTTCTCTATGCTCCCATTGTCCGTACCCGAACTCGACGGAGATGCGCGTACGAGGTAAGCGCTTACCCCGCGTGGCGTTTCGATCATCTCCATTGCGATCCAGGCTTCACGCTCTTCAGTGGGTAGAGCATCTAGGAACGCAGGAATGGCTTCACGGTAGACGTTATTCCCACCTCCCTCACGCTGGGGCTTCAACACGAGCGACGGGGCCTTAAGGCGCGCGAGACGTGTTCCGGGCGGTACGCTTCCTTGTGCTTGTCCTGCATCCGGGAGGTGATCAAGCGCAGCGGCGATATCAACATCTTCCGAGTCGAGTGCCCACATGCCCATCCAGGTGGCCCGGATATCTGCTGCGTGTGCTGTGAGATCGAGAGCACGTGCGCCCCATTTTGCGCCTTCATTATTGAAGAAGCGCTCGAGTACCCCGGGGCGTGTCAGTGCTTCTTGGACTTTCTTCCCGCCTGCGAGTTGGAGGGGAAGAGAGGGACATTTGATGGCGCGGCTACGCTCTAGGAGGAAACGCGTGTCGTAGTAGGAGGGTGATGGGAAGTCGGAGGGGGTGTAAGTTGCGTGGAAGTATATCGCGGATATTTCGTATGGTGAGGAATTAGTCGGGGATGTGAGTATGAGTGCGTGTGTGGAGGGGTCGAGGGATGCAGAGACGGCTAGGTCGGCGAGTGTTTGACGGACGACGTGGATTTGATGTCTGTTCTAGCGGATTAGTCTGTTGATGATGAGAGAGATGGGAATGCACTTCTCGAGCAATTCATACTCTAACCATTGTTGGTCAAAAACGTTGCGTTCGTTGGGTTGCACGACGAACAGGATGCGCGCGCTGGATCGATGTGAGTTCACGAATACATGTGTGCTTGAACAAAGTTTGAACTGACTCTCGAACGCCATACGCTTCGTGAGCCTTGGAAAAACCTTCAACGAGACCAGAGGTGGTGCTGTTCTCTGGAAAATTGTCTGCAGTAAGATGTGGAGATGCAGAAAAGTAAGAAGTGGACGCCAGGATATTTCTATACCGCATCAGCGTTTACAAAAAATATCTTGAAAACTAAACACACCTATGCATAGCAGCCGCACGCTCAGAAAGCGGACCAAAGGACGAAGATATAGTATTAAACTCGACCTGCTTCAGTGCAAGTCTGTCTTCTGCAGTATGTAACAGATAATCCGATCTAAACAGGCCAAGGTGCAACGGCTATGTGCCATCAATGCCCCACCATGCGGCAGAAGCAAGAAGTCTCAAACGCACTTGTGCTAGTGCGCCGTGCTCCCTGATCTTCTTCCATCCCCTCCATAACGTCCCAGTAAACTCATCCGCCTTTCCTACGCCCTCCTCGGCGCCCATTACTGCATCTAAGAAGTGGGTATCCATCGCTACGCGTGCATAGAGCACGTTATATACGCTCTGCAGCTCTCTTGCAGCCTGGAATTGCGCACGGGGGAAGGGCGTGGGAATGAGTGAGAGGGGGGCATGGATTGCGGTGGTTGGTATGCGTGGTTGGGTATTGGATGGTGATTGGGAGGGTGGAAGGTAAAGTAATCCGTGCGAGAGCGCGTATGTTGTTGCGGCGAGTGTCAGAGCTTCTAATTGCTCTGGAGTTAGCTGTGGAGGCCAGGTAGAGAAGTTGAAGGAGGTCATGAATGGGCTACGTACCGACGAATTACTATAAGCAGATAAGATAACACCACCACGTGCTATTACTTGGTCCTCCCAACACAGCTTAACAGCTTAACTGCTTAACATCACCATGCCACGCCGCAAACATCAATTTCTCGAAGACGATGATTCTGACTCTTCAGAAGGCTCAGATGCCGACGTCAACCTACACGACAATGATCCAGATGTTCGTGCTGAGCGTGCCCTCTTCGAAAATTCGCACAAACGACGTCGGAAGAATGGTAAAGAAGACGCAATTTATGGTGTTTTTGGTAGCGACAGTGAGGATGAAGGCTACGGCGGCCTCAACTCGAAACGCAAGAGAAGTGACTGGACGAAGGCTCCCGCATTTGTCGCAAAGGGAAAAGTAGATTTGGAGGAGGATGTGGAGGCGCAGGAGGACGAGGCAGGGGACGAGGAACAAGAAGTGGTGGATGAAGCGGACGGGGTCGACAGTTCCGACGATGATATCGAGCAGGCTGAATATGCTGAGGATGATGAAGGTGGGGATGGATTCTCGGCGCCTCCTTCGCCCCGAATACGAGATCAAGAAGAGGACGAACCACCAGAGCGGCCAGCATTTACCGGCCTTGGCTCGACTAGAGCTGAGCCGGAACTTCCAATGCAGAATTTTACGAGAGGCGGTATAGGATCTTCAAAGGGTGGAATTGGCTCAAAAGGTGGAATAGGTTCTGCCAAGGGTGGTTTCGGTAATTCTACAAAACTTGGATCCGCGACTGTAGGTATGGGATTTACGAAAGGTGGCATCGGTTCTACATCTAGTGCCCCATCTGAACCTGTTATCGCTGCCCCCGCTCCTACCAAACTAGCGTCTACATCCGAGTTACCAATCGACTTTGGTGGTAACAGTGCCCCTCGTGCGCAACGCTCTTTCCTCCGCAGCGGAACTTCTTCTACAAGCAAACCATCCACACCGCTACCTGCACATGAGCAAGCACACTTCAACAAGATTGGAAGTACCATTGGTGCTCAAATGCTTGCAAAGATGGGATGGCAGGCTGGTACAGGTCTCGGCGCGACCGGAGAGGGTATCGTCATCCCAATCGAGAGCAAATTGCGTCCGAAGAAAATGGGTATCGCATTCAAGGGGTACAAGGAGAAGACGGAGCAAAGCAAGCTTGAGGCTAGAAGGAGGGGAGAGGTAGTCAGCGACGATGAGGAAGAGGTGCGGCCGAGACAGAGTAAGAAGGGCGATGCGAAGGAGAAGAGGAGCGACGCTTGGAAGAAGCCGAAGAAGGTGAAGACAAGGGTCGAGCACAAGACATACGAACAAATTGTTGCAGAGGCTGGACAAGAACCCGCCGCATCCGGCATTGGTCAAATCATTGATGCGACTGGCAGAACGGTGAATGCTGCTCATATCTTTTTGTCTCACCTTACTCACGCATCTTTTCAGCCTCGTGAAGTCGCGTCACTTGCCGACATATCTTTGTCATCGTGGACGCCATCAACGGATCCTACTCGCATACCGGAGGTACGGCATAACCTGCGACTTATTGTAGACGCATGCAAGAACGATCTTGACGGGCTTGCACGTGAAGCCAAGGCTCTCGAGGAACGCAAAAGATTTATTACTCAAGAGAGCATTCGGCTGCAAAAGAAAGTTAGTGATGAGGCTGAACGTATGTTTGTTCCCGCATTTCAATTTGATCATCACTTATACGCAGTGTATGTAGTCATTGCACGACTACAGCAGGTGAAACTTGTTGTAGACGATATTGGCGCAAAGGCGAAGGAACTAGCTTCTGTTTATGAGGCAACTTTGGATGATTTTTCGCCTTTGTTTTCCACCCTGCTGGTGCAGTACCCCACAGAGTTTGACAGATATCGGTTGGACGAGATTGTTGTCGCAGCAATCGCGCCGATGGTCAGACGCATCGTTGCTCAATGGAATCCACTCCAGGATCCTCCAGGCTTGGTCACAACCTTCCGCACATGGAAGCAAGCGCTGAAAGTCAACTCTGTTGACAAGCCACCAGATACCCAGATTGACATCTACGGCGCACGCATTGTGGCAACCCCTCCTGCTATTGAAAAGCCGATGACTCCTTTTGAGTCCCTTTTATGGAATGTATGGCTACCCAAAGTCCGTACCTGCCTTAACAACGAGTGGTCACCTGAGGACCCTACACCAGCCGTCAAGTTATATGAAGCATGGTCGACATTCCTCCCGCCATTTGTGCGCGATAACCTACTTGACCAACTCATACTACCCAAAGTAAGCAAAGCCGTTGCAGACTGGAGCCCCAAGCGTAGTACGGTGTCCTTGCATGCGCTTGTATTCCCTTGGCTTCCATACCTCGGTTTGCGTATTGACTATGTTCTGGATGATGCGCAAAGGAAGGTCAAGAGCCTTCTCAGGAGTTGGGTACCAGCAGACGGCGCACTCAAGGATCTCGGTGGATGGATGGAGGTTTTCGACAAAGGCGAGTGGGACGCGATGCTCCTCAAGTATGTTGTGCCGAAATTGGGCTCGTTGTTGCGCGACGAGTTCCGTGTCAACCCCCGCAACCAAAATATGGAACCATTGAAGCAGGTTCTCGCGTGGTCCACGCTTCTCCGCGGAAGTGTATTTTCCCAACTGCTAGAAACCGAGTTCTTTCCGAAGTGGCTGGATGTACTGCACATTTGGCTCATACAGCCAAAGGTCAGTTTTGAGGAAGTTGCACAGTGGTATTCCTTTTGGAAGAGCAGTTTCCCGGATAGTGTGCAGTCTATGCCAGGTGTTGCACGTGGATTCACTCGCGGGTTGCAACTTATGAACACAGCTATCGAGCTTGGCCCTGATGCACCTACGATGCTGAAACGCCCAGATCTACGTGCAGAACAGGCGATTGCAAATGTGTCTATGAAGAAGGCAACTGCAACAAAAGTCGCTCCTGCGCGGATTCAAGAAATCACCTTCCGCTCGATTGTGGAGGAGTTTGCTGCATCGCACAATCTCTTGTTTATTCCTACGGGGCGCGCGCACGAGAAGTCAAGGATGCCGTTGTTCCGCATTTCATCTAACATTGGAGGGAAAGGAGGTTTACTTGTCTATGTGCAAGACGATGCGGTGTGGGCACCTGACGGGGATGAGTATAGGGCAATAACCTTGGAGGATATGGTTCTTAGGGCGAACAAGTAGGGGTATTCAGAAGTAGTATTGATAATATTTGTAGATGTATAGGCAGCTGTTAATATTGTGGCGCACGCATCGTCGCGACGCGATGGTCAGGTGACCAACAACCTCAATGACAATGGCATTATTGTTGATTGCCGCAAGTGTCAATCCCTGTCAATAATGCCAGTTTGACTGAACAGCGAGAAACCTCAAAGGAGCCACAGTGGCAGGAGACAACATTGCAAGTTGGTCACTCCCATTACACGCTAATTCTTTCTGGGACCTGCAAGACATTTGGAAATTCAGGGTTCCCGGCAGCTCGCGCATTACCACATCGGAGAGGCACTCCTCTCTCCTGAAGTCTTTTATCTTAGTTTGCTTTCATGTCTCTCAAACTACCAGCCGAAATTATCGATGTCGACGCTCTCCTATCAGATGAGGACGAACCAGCTGATGCGATTCAATTCGTAGGGTACGGCCCGGGGGGAAACTCACAATACACGAACGCCACGGGTCGGATGACAACTATCAAGAATGAACCAGTCGCTTCCTCGTCCCGCTTGCCTCCGCCCCCAGGACCCAATTTGCAATTCAAAGAGTAAGTTTGCCATTCATCACTCCATGTGAGCCGCCGGCGTTAATTAGGCATTCGTTGATCATCTCTTCCGTACGTCGTGCAGCAGTCATACATTATTCACCTACGCGCGTCCAGGGCTCTTTGAAGTTGTTGAAGAAGTAAGATTTTACTTTCAAAACGTCCATGCGATCGAGGACTCATGCAAGACCACCTTTATCTTCAGGAAAAGAGGAAAAGAATGGCGATGGAACGCGTTGGAGAACCACCTTTGAAGAAACGTGCAACAAGTTCCGCCATCGCAATTGCAAATGCGCCCAGTCGACAAAAGGAAAAACGCAAGCAGCCGTTTGGGTGGAAGGAGCCAGAAATCATTGATTTGATGATTTGTAGCAGCGACGATGACATCCTGGTTAAGGTAAGATTTTGCTCGATATCGCTCCTGTACTTCCCTGATCACCTGTCCTCTTAGAAACCTAGACTCGAATCCGAGGACAACCACTTGTTTTCCGACCGCATGACTGATATCTACACGAATGATGATAGCAACCAAATGAACTGCAGTAACGATATGCATGACCCGAACGATTTTCTCCCTCGGACAAATGCACTGCCATCTCTATCGCAACCACTATCATCTGAAGGCTCTGGATATGACTCTGAAGAGGAGTACACGAATTATATGGCTTCTCTCGATATTTCGGATGAGTCCAAAGTGAGTATCTCTTCAATCGATACTCATATGTTTAAACTTCATTTCCAGTGGAATTCGATGCCCTTAAGCAACAAGGCCGAAGATCTTTCGCCCAATTTGAAGCTCGAGGTTGACCCGGCACGTCCACGACCTGGGGAACTGCGGCCGTTACGTCCGAAGTACTTCGCCGTACACTATCCAGTTACCCCCTTAGATCCAATATACAAGGAGCAATTTTTTTGGGGAAAAGTGCGTCGTTGTTTGTCTTCATGTGGGCGAGTAACGAAATTTTGCTCAGCTAAATTCAGTGCCAGGTTTCCGACCGCGCGCACTAAAACCACCTGCCCGACTTCGCTTCGCTAGGCATTTACCGGGACGCACGCGCCCTCTCAAACTATTTCAAGATCTTGCTTACGAGAAGTTGGGTGTTGTGCAATCGCATCGTCAGGCAGCATCAGGATGTGAGCGATATCCTCTAGCCAATATTTTAGCATCGTTCCTGATGAGGTTCTCAGCTATAAATAAGATTGTTCAAGTTCCAGGAGCTATTGTAGCATGTGCGGCAGCATCGGGTGGGCATCCTGACTATTCGGATGAAGACAGACAAGGTGCGCGTGTCATGTTCTCTTCTTATCCGGAGATGCTTAGTCCCCGCAGCGCCTCTCCCATCAGACAACAATGCTGGGACAATGGTAGTGCTCCACCAGGGCCAGTGTAAGTCTGTCAGCAAGTGGTAGGAGGACCTGTTTTGATCACTTGCAGGCCACGTTGTCGATGCTCACTGCATCGATCACGGAGGTGATTATCTCCTTCAGGCAGGAGTTATACTTATGACTGAACCGTGTTGCAGCTTCTGCGAAGAAATACTACACGGTGAATGATGTCTTATTCAACCCATTGAAGTATGGTTGGGCCCTACATTTATTGTACTTGATGAGTTAATAGCCACTGTAGCCCCGAACAGTTTCTATCGACTGGGAATGATTGTCAGGTGCAGCTTTGGCAGCTGCCTAAGGCTGATGAAATGGAAGTGAGTGAATCCATCACCAGCGCCCCCAGGATGATGAATTCCAGTGAGTCTACCATTGCTACCTTTGTACTTACTGATGTCCTGTTTCATAGTGACGCTCGGAGATGTCGCCCAGGACTTGGTGCACTCATTCGACGGCGCAAATATTGCTGTGTCTTGTCGAGATGGGTTTGTATACCATCCGAATTGCCAATTTGGTTGGAGTTGACTTTCTCACTCAGCACTGTCTCTGTCTTCAAGACGATGAAATTATTCACTCCATCAACATGGTCCAGAACTACGCCTCCCCCTGATCCGGAGACGAAACTCCACGTTGCCCCTCCTAATGCCGACCATGCCGCGGGTACTGTCCTTTGGGGCCGTGGTCCGACCGAACGCCTTATGTACACATCTTCAGAAGCCCATGATCCTGACGGGGAAGGCAAGGACCAAGGTTTCCATCGTGCACACGATATATCACGAGGTCGAGTACTATTTCCTTTCAGTGCTAATGAGTCGGGTGATGCAGGAGCCGTCAGTCCAGATGGTGAGTGAGTGCGTTTACCCGTGACCTAACTGGTATAAAACTGTGCAGGGAGCACTTATGTCTTGATCACATGCGGTGAGAATAATCAACATCCTATAAGGTTGTACGATGTGGCCCGCAAGTCGGGACATGCTATCGCCGAAACAACGCTCGAGCCATCAGCCTCACAGGTCGCTACTTTTGAAGCCACAACAGCCACTTTCTCTTCTGAAGGTCGCCTCCTTGCGGTGGCACGCTCAGATAATGCCGTGCACATGTACGACATTCGCGCGCTAACCAAAGGACCCCTTGCCGCATTCAGACATGAGGAGTTAGATGCAGTAGGTTCGACCGGGTATGGCGCTGTTCATGCATGCTGGGTCGAGGGGCGGGATCGGCGGCGAGTTGGCATTGTCAGCGGGGGCAACGACGGGTGTGTGCGAGTATGGGATCCGTTGATTGCCTCGTCGGACAAGTCCCAGGGTAAAGTGCTAGCGCGCACAGAATTCGATGTCGCATACTTTTCCATGGGTGATATGTGGATGGGAGAGAAACCGCTCGTTCTGTGAGTGACATGCTCTGCTTTTGTACAAGCACTGATCGGATTAAAGTGGCCATTGTGGTGGAGGTCTCTATGTTTATGACCGCTTGGATGCTGACGGCCTACCGATATGTTGAACCATTGGTATTCAGTAGCAAAACACCCTGTTTTCCGCATCACACACCGGACGCGTATGCTTATATCACTGGATGAGAAGACTCTTTGATTTTTCCCACGGTACCACTGGACGATTAGATTAGATATACACAAGTTCGACTGAGGTTATATTCATCCCACCACATTTGTTGCTCGGTCTAATGTTTATGTATTCATGCACTGAGTTCGCCCATCGAAGCACCTGTGCGGTCATAGCTCAGTTAGTGAGTCCACAGGTCTGATCTTCCCTAGACAGACCATAGACGAATGTATTATTGGTGAGTTTATACATTCGTGATTTCCAGATATCACTGAGGCTTTGATTGGGCTCAACCTTGATTAATCTGATTACCCAAGACAATGGTGAGTTTTCAGTCTCTATCTACAAATTACCACTCAAGTTGGCAAGTTTGTAGTTTATATAACACTTCTTTATTCACACCAATTTAACATCGTTCATCGCTGTAACTCCTACTTTTTATGGTCAAAGGACTTGGGAGGCTTGATACAAACCTAAGGTATCGAAAGGTGGTGTTCGGGCATTTATGGTACTGTACCCCGACTTGAACACAACGGTAAAAGGTCTACTCCTACTTTTCATGTCGCCAAAACTCAACTGACGACTTTGTCCCGCAGGCTCTTCATGGAGACATTATCATCTTCCCAAGTCGGTGTATGCGGCATCCCTCGTTCGCACAGGAGTGATCTGGCTGTTATATCTGGCCTTCCACCATAGATTCTCACCACTGTCTTCAGACACTTCGGAGAAAAGTAGTAGAGTCACCTGGCCAAACGGCCTCTATTTGTGTGGTATTCACACACCCTTGTAGGTACTGGTGACAAGTCGCCATCGAGAGCCCGACTCTTGGGACGTATATCATTTATACCCATCCTCACTGGCTAAACATCATGCTTGAGAGCTCTAACAACGCTTCTTTGTTCGTCGCGTATGACGTGACGGTCTTACTACAAGATTGCTTGGAACAATTCCTTTCACAGCTACCTCGGATGAGAGTCCTCTGACTTTGCACCGTGATATTAATCGTACCATTGACTTGTTATCATGGCAATTTGCGCCATTTGCTTGAAATATCCAAATTCTTGAACACGTTGCTCGGCGAACCCACAACGCAACCCACATTCAACCCTGTCTTTCAAGAAAATTCACCCCGATAAGAATTCCAACTTCGGCTGAACCGTGCATTTTTCCGCCAGGCTTCGGATTTTATCTATCAGAGGAACAGGAAACACTTACTTTTCCATACAGCCGCAGCTCCTGTAAGCTCAGAGGTACAACGTGCTTGTCTTGGAGCAGCTTACGCTTGAGCGGCTGTGACCTGAAGAGTTTCAGGATGTCATGAAAATGCGCGCTAAACATGGTGTCAGCGGCATATACTGACATGCCCTCCAGATTATAATAGCCTTGTACATAGTACTAGCACTTCAAGGGAAAGGACGCCGGCACCGTCTCATGGTCATTCTAGTAGTCTTCCGAGATCAGTTGAAGGGCGATGCTGTTGAATTTCCTACTCAGCAGCATAAAAATCGGTTAGATATGTCCACTTGCTTCCTGCACCTTTGGCATAACGGGTGTGGGCTAGTATGAAAGTAGCTGTTAACTCCTACTAACCGTAATTACCTCCTACTAGCATTAGTACGTGCGGGTTGTTCCGGCTGAGGTCAATTAATCTCGTAATTTACAGTTAAGTATTTTGCTTCTATGCATCGCACAAATTGATTTTCAACATACGACGACATTCGAAATAGCAATAGTCCAATTGCTTCTACTACCATGGGACAATCAATCTCCTCCCCGCCTCCCGCAACTGTAACGCGCACTTCTCCACCGTCATCGTGTCCAATGCATGATGTGCCCAGCACTGGCTGTCCAATCCAGCACAACAACCCACCTGTTGCAAAACCCTCGGGTGGATGTCCCATCGATCACTCTTCTTTCAATACATTGAATCCCACAAACCAAATGCCCAATCTCCCTCAGACTCCGATATCCCCGCAAGCCGTACCACTACCGACTGAGCGTACGATGTCATCGATACCACGTGTGGTGGACGGTGAAACGAAAACTGACACGCACCAAACGTGGGAGTACCCATCCCCTCAGCAGTTCTATAATGCATTGGTAAGAAAAGGTTTGGATACGCCTCCTGAGCATATTGAGACGGTGGTGGAAATACACAATTTCTTGAATGAGAGAGCTTGGGGAGAAGTGATGAAGTGGGAGAGGAGGGTTGCACAGTGCGTTGTATGCTTGCTATGCCGATTATGATTATTGATCTTTTACCTCTCAGGGAGGGTGATGAGGAGCCGCATCTTGCTCGCTTTAAGGGCCGTCCGGGCGAGATGTCGCCCAAGGCAAGGTTCTGGATGCTGGCTGGCTGGTTGCTTCCTTCTAGATTCAAGTAAGTTTGTCCCTGTTAGGTGTTTACTGAATGCTGACATCAGTGTCGCAGCACTGAGCCTCCATTCGATCGCCATGATTGGATAGTACGTCGTCCGCGCGATGGAACAGAGGTTCGCTATGTCATCGACTACTACTCTGCACCGTCTACTCCTAACGGAGACCCCGGGTTCGCATTGGATGTCCGACCTGCTCTCGACTCGTTGGAAAGCGTTCAACAGCGTGTAGCAGTGGGTATGGACGACGTATGGGAGGGGCTTCGCGAGAAAGGGTGGGGAAAGAGTGAACGTGGGGGTACGCAACAGGCAAGGTCGTAGGAGATTATTGAGCATGCGTACTCTACATGGATCAGTCGTCCGACTGTTGATATTTATGTTGTCTTGAGTAAGCTAATGAACACCTCTCGTATTATACGCTAATATGATAGACTCGCTATCGGAAAGTTATACCGTTGCTGACACATTTATTTTCAGCTCCTTGATGTTGGTCAAAGTAACAGAAGATGTAAATGCCATTTCTGCCGAGCTGGGTGGTTATTTGATGTATCAATATCGCTTCTCTTATCTCACAGAGTCTTGGGGTTAGAATTCAAGTTAAGACGCACCTGTAAGTGCGTCCAGCGGTAGGTGTCTGAATAATAACTTGTTCTCTGATGAAACAGTTGGACGCTGGGAGCAATCGATATGAGGTGGTCTGGATACTTTCAAAAGTGCCACAAGATGCATACAGGTTGGTGTTGATTGATCATTGGGGGTGCCAGACGAAATTGCTCAACTGACGCATGGGCCGTACATATTGACGTTTGAGTACGAGTTTGCGATCTCGATTGGTCTCGATCAAAACGTATGCAAATCTGCCGAGGCTCGTCTTGCTATTTCGTTGAAGGTGACGTTTGTCGGATTGTCAACAATTTGTTCATTGGAGCTGATGGACTCGAATCAGCATCAATATGGTACACTGAACGAATTTCTCATCCAAGTCAATGATTGCTCCGAGGAGTTGTTTGTTCTATGATGTCATGTGGAAGCAATTTCATTAGAATTGGGACCACAGGTGAGACATCCACGGGTGAGACATCCGCTCATTCCGAAAATGAATAACAAAAGATTCCGCTCAATAGCCCATTGCATTTACACTCGAAGCCACCCTCATTCTATTCAATCCACTATCCACTAGGTTCACCTTACATTTATTTCCACATTCAATGCTTCGGTCTTTGGGCTATAAAAGCTCGACTAATGCTAAGTTTTTCTCCCATCAAAAGCATCTCTATCATCCATCTTGAACTCACATTCATCTCAAATTATTCTATAGCATGTTCTCAGAGAAGGAGCTGTCCAGCGCAGAGAAAATTCGCCATCGCGTCCCAACCCCACACACCTCGCGCATCACAGACCTTTCGACCAATCCCACCAACGACAAGTTATCTCATCCTTCTGCTATCTCTTTGACCACTCAACACTCTTCTCGGTCCAAGCGCTCTTCAGGCAAGCGCAAGAAAAACAAAAAGCGACGCTCTCAGAAGCCTCTTGCAAACCTCGATAGTTCAAATCCAAAGGAACCGTGGCTTGACCTTTCCTTCTTGAACCGTCATCGTACGCAAGAAGACTATCTCTGCAATTACTGGCGCTACACGGTTGCTGACGAGCAAAGCATGTGCCTCGATTATTTCTTGAATGCGATCGATGCGCACGAGTGCGAACTGTGGCAAGGATTTTCCGATGACTACGTGCCTTCCTGGGCGAAATTCCTGGAAGTTCGTCAAGGCTGGGAAGGCAACGATGAACGGAAGTGGCAGTCGGGCGGCTGGATTCGCGGGAAGAATGGGATAGAATGGCGCCCAGGTCATGTTATGTTGAGGGTACCTAACAACGATTGGATAGGCGGCAGTCACGAAGGCCTGGACGATTACTCCAATGCGAGCTCAAGGAACTGGATGGATGATGAAGTTGTCGTTTCTGGTGAGGACCACGAAGATTACGGAGTCGGTGACGAGATATCCCCGGAGCGAGGAAGGGAGTCATATCACGAGCAAGATTCCAAGCCACGTTCAGAAGTCAAGAGGACCTTTGAGCCTCGCCTCATCGTCCCCCGTGTCACTCCAGCATGCTTCATTTTGGATATCCCACCAGCCCAGATCATCATCCCGAATGACACTCCACTAGATAGCCCAGTGAGTAGTGTTGCGAATACATATTTTCTCGTATCTCATGTTCCACAGCCATCTCTTTCGAAACATGACTCGCGTACTACGAAGGCATCCAAAGTATCGCATGCTCCTCTCGTAACACCCGACCGCGCTCGCCAGTTCTCTCATCGCCCTCGGCGTGTCTTCACACCTGCCCCTACCCCAATTTCCAGCGAGTGTGCTGACGATGAAGTCACTGGGAATCATGGGGCAATTGAGAAATTGCTTGAATTTCTCAAGGTGAGGAATATTACTTTCCCGTTGTGGAATGTTAAACGTTATTAATATGTTTTCATTATCTAGATGAATACAGAGCAAAAAGTAGCCGAGATTCATCAGTTGGTCAGATCTATGAGGCGAGGAACACAGTCGTAGCTGGACTCGATTGTTATCAACTCTCCTATTTACTTACTTTGTATTGACTGTTACCAAACTCTGTACTAACAACTTTGAAACGACATTTTGGTTTATTTATTGACGATGGTCGATCGAGTTCGAAGGATAAAAGTCGGGTCTAGAAAACACCAACGTATCTGCATGTAGTATGCATATAGCTCGTGTTTAATGTAAGTACTTGTTACGGCGCCTGTAGAGCCTTTCGGATAGACTGCGAGACACTAGGAGATAGGGAGAATGGTATGAACTTGTTGGGATAGATGTGACTACGGTACGGGTAGACGGGATATGTCAACGGAACGGTAGTGACAACGACAGATTTTAAGATCTGTGGAAATGGTAACTAGGAGTGTGATAATCAGTGAAATGTTAACAGCAAGTGAGAACATCACTTGCAGAAGGACCCCGGCCCACCGTGACTGCCTCATGCAAGTGTGCGATCGCATCTTAGTTATTTAGGTACAAGTTCAAGTTGTGGGCAACAATCGATATGCTCTGCTGGCACAGGATCTTTTTGTTATTGGAGTTTAAAGGGCAGTAGAAGCGATGGAATTTGACAGATATAACTTTGAAATATGTGTCAAATCTCTATGCACGGGAGATCTTGAGACCGTACAATTGCAAGAATACATCAAATTGAAGTACTTACGACAAATTGTTATCGTGAACTTGAACACCAAATGCCCCACATTCAGCTGCTCTCGAATCAGTTCAACCAGTGCTTGCTTTTGTCCGATGAATTTTCATAATCATTCAAAGGTTTGACAGTGTCGTCATTATATAGAGAATTTGATGCTCGTTGATCTCCTCATTCCATTTGTCCAGTTCCCTCATCTTTCATTGAGGCCTTCGGAAAGGATTCAAGAGATTGCCGGCGATATGTGAGCAATAGGCTTAGCCTAACAAAGCCTGTCAAGCGTACTGGATGATTTATGTCGTCGTTACAGTGTGCTGTATTCACGACGACGACGACTTCCTGATACTGTATACATCATGTCGCGCAAAAAGAGATCGCGTAGAAGTGCCCAGAAGGTGCACATTAGCCAATGCGCCAGCGCCTTCGGTGAGGGCACTTCACATAGGTGTACCGTCGGTGAGTCACTCAGCCAGTATTACCAGCGCCGCATGATGCTTGGGTCGGAGACTCGGAGTAGTCCGAGTCAGCATGAAAGTCTCGCAGACGAGATATGACGCTAGTTTTTTTACATGTCTTCCTATGGTCCCTAAATAATGCCTGGAAGAAATCCATGCAGTTGCCCTGGTTGAAAGCTTCAGTTGTTGCGTCATGAGACTACACGCATACCACCTTTGAAGTTAAAGTTCGCTGCAGTGTATATGTCATCACGTGACCACGTGATTTTTAACAATTTCTTGAGACTATCATAGTGAGAGCTCTTTAGTCGAGTGATGCTTCCCCGTCATCTCCGTAGCTTCGTTGCAGGCCAGCGTGCGCGCTCGTTGCTTTCGCACAGACCAGCTGTAGCGTCCTCTTCGCTGCCTGGTTATTCTCCAGTCAGCCATCCCTTGTCGCGACACGCAAACACTTCCGCATCTCGTTCCTTCCACTCCTCATCGCGAAGACATGACGAGCTCCCGAAGTCACCCTTTCAAACATTTGTCGATGTCCTTCGTGACGAACTCCGCAAGAACAGAGAGCTCCAAGACAATGTCAAACAACTTCAGGGTGACGTTGACAAGTTCCAGGATTCGGAGGCCATGAAACGGGCGAAGGAAGTGTATGAGCGCGCAAGAGTGTGTTTTTTGAATTTTTCTCATCTGGGTCAAATCTCACATCTGCTTCTGCACATAGTTGACGTCCAGCATAAAAGAGAACCCTCGTTTGAGGGCAGCAGCGGAGGAGCTAAAGAAGACGGGTGTCAAGGTCGGAGATGCGGTAACAGAGGCTTTGAAGACTATGGAAGAGAGCGAAATCATGCGCGCAGTGCGTGTGGTTTACTTCTAACTATTTGATGTCATGAACTAAATTTTGGCAGATTTCGCGAGCAACGACGTCCCTCTCTAGTACCATTGCTACCACAACCGAACCCATCCGTCAGACGGCTGCTTACAAAACTCTTGCAGAGACTCTCGTTGATGCCTTGGATGACTCTGGGTCTGCAAAGCACGCTGGGTTTGAAGACAAGGAAGCTCGGAGACGACGCAGGCAAAAACGTCTTGAGAAGGCGGGCCTAACCGGACGTCGAATAATGGAGGAGAACCCGGAGTGCGTCGTTTGGAAGTGAAATTTGTGTGTTAGTAATAACAAGCATGACCTCCACAGAGCAGGTCAAGCACTGGTATCTGTTAAAACTTCGCCTCGTGCTGAGGCCTGGGAGAATTTCAAATCCACGAACCCTGTCATGCAACGCTTATCCTCGCTACATGCCGCGTACGAGGAGTCAGAGTCTCCCCTCATTACACCGCTTCGTGCTGTGACCAGTACGATTGGGTCCTGGTTCGAGGAGAACGAAACAGCACAAGTGACACGAATGATCCGCGCAATGGATCCGAACTTTTCGAGGGAGGCGTTCGAGAGGGAGTTGAGAGAATATATCATTCCTGAAGTCGTAGATGCGTACTTGAGTGCAGACAAGGAGTCACTTGTTAGGTGGTGCAGTGAAGCGGTGAGTGTATGCGATCGGAATCGCATTTTGAAGGCTGAAACAACCCCCTTATTTAGACGTACAATGTCCTTTGGGCAACTATGGAACAATATCTCCGCCAGGGCCTTGTGAGTGATAGCAAAGTGCTCGATATCCGATCGGTAGATGTAAGTATTTCATTTAGATTATTTCCAGTCCATTCATTTTATGCAGAGGTAAAATGCTGAATATTTCTAGGTTTCCGATGGAAAGATTCTCGACTCCTCTATCCCTGTCTTTGTTGTGACATTCTCGACACAAGAGGTTCTTCTATTCCGCAACGCAGCCTCCCGTGAGATCGTTGTCGGCGCTGAAAACCGAGTGGAACAGTGTGTATATGCTGCGGTGATAACGCGCGTTCACGAGGAGTTAGCTGACGAGGTTACGGGTGGGTGGAAGGTCGTCGAAGTGAGTTTTGTCTCCTTCACATGCTACTCGTATTGATATTCTCCTGTACAGATGGCACGCAGGTCCTCCAGAGCGTATCTATAGTCGTGTTAATTAGATACTGGGCACTACTAACACACAACGCATCAATCACTGCTTTGCTTAATTATCAATCACCACTCATCTCGTCATAGCAGTATCTTATTACATTGACTATATAAGTTTTGTCTGAACCTAGTCTTAGTGATTCACGTGACACGGTATTATATTGGGGGCACTCGCTGCAAAATGGCTCGGTAATTGAATATTGATGTCGCGTTCATCGTCCAAGTCACAACCAGCTGCGCATGGACCTCAGTCGCAGTCAGCACGAATTCGTATTGCAAATGAAAGTGCTGCACCAGACAGAGACGTCGGACCCGTCCCCTCTTCCCTATCTTTACTGACAGCACGCCGTCCGTCATGGGCTCCTCCACTTTATGATCATACGCAAGAGATGACCACTGGGCTCGGCTCCTATCGCGATGTACCATCATTTGGCACGACAAAAACGGCTCCTCCATCTTCTTCGCCTGAAGATAGTGGCAACTTCCAGAGAAATCTGCACATAGACATGAAGGAACTTGTCGGGGATGCGGTCGGAAATGTGCGTATCCTTTGTGTCACCAAAAAGGTAGTCTTCTGACTAAAATATACAGATGAGTATCAGCCCTGCGAGCAGAGACATCGTCCTTGCAGCGTGAGTCAGCATATATTGTATCGAATGAATCTCAATAGTGCGAAGTCGCCGAGGTTTGTTTATCATCGACCTCGAGGCACCCCTCGAGGTGCCGCGTTTCCTTCCTCAAGGGGGAACGTGGGACGTCGCGGACGTGCAATGGAACCCGCACCGTGCTCGCGCAGAGTACATTGTATCTACCTCATCCGAGAAACTGTAAGCTCTTCTCTGTACTGTTGTAATCGGAGCCTCTGACTAACAGAAAACCTGAAGCCTTATATGGAACCTTATGATGGTCGGAAAGACATCCATCGAACATATACTTCACTCTCATTATCGTGCCATCACTGACATCAACTGGCATACCAAGGAGCCCGATATTGTATCTAGTGTTGGCATTGATGCTTGGGTGTGGTCTTGGGATATAAGGGAGCCGAGGAAGCCTGTACTAGGTGCGTTTTTTTTCACTATCCTCATCAAACGTAGTTCGAATTATCACAGGACTATGCGCGTTCAATGGTAAGCATTTTCGAGCCCGTAGCCACGTGTTGTGATATTTTGCGCAGCGGGAGGTACGCAGGTGAAATGGAACCGACAGGATCCCAATGTTTTGGCATCTTCGCATATGAATGAAGTTCTAATATGGGATCGCCGGGTATGCCGCCTTTGCTATATCATCTTCTGGGGTTTATCTCCCCTAGAGTTATTTACTAATATACTTGGTAGAAAGGTTCGCTTCCTACTGCGCGAATAAAGGCGCATACGGCAAAGATTTATGGTATAGACTGGGCGCATGAGCGGATGCACGACCTCGTTACTTGCTCTCTTGACAAAACGATCAAAGTGTGGAACGCGCATGATGCTCCTTCTTTTTCCTTTAATCAGTCTTCGCAAGCCGAAATTGAACCACGCTCAAAAATTTCAACACGATATCCCGTCTGGCGGGCCCGAAATCTTCCTTTCGGACACGGTGTGTTAAGCTTGCCACAGCGCGGAGATACAACCCTTGAAATGTACTCGCTGGAGGGCAGTGAGGTTGGGACGCCAGTAGAGGTGTTTGAAGGACATGCAGATGTAGTAAAAGAATTTGTGTGGAGGAAAGGAGGACTAGGTGAGCGCGCACACTTCAGACGTCAATCATCGTGTAATTTGGTGTCAACAGAAGGAGGAGATTACCACCTTATTACATGGTCCAAGGACAGAACTCTCAGATTTTGGCCGGTTGATGCTGAAATTATGGAGGTGCCCAATCATCTGACATGTACCAGTGTGTTCGGTGCATAACGTTTTCTATTTCATAGAAAGTCGGCCATACGGCTACCACTCGAGCGCCTTCGCACCCTCATTTGCAACGTTCACGTTTCTTCACGGACAAGTCTTTCCGTCACCCGCCAATAGCAACTGATGTGCACCCGCCACTTCTATCAGCACCCATTGGGCATCGTGGAATCTTGGCTGAAGTAAGAACGAGTACGCTTCCTTCTCGAGTAACAACGAATACAGTCGCCGGCGCCAGTGCTGTTGCGAGCAGAGACAAAGATCATAATCCCGTCCTCCAACCACACCATGGATCTGCAGCGCGGGGCCGCGGTGCACTGCTTTTGGACGCTCCTGGATCTGCCGCACTCAGTATTCCCGGCACTACGCTGAAGCCTCACATTCAACATATTCCTGGGACACCCGCAACGATGACGATGACGCGTGGTCATGCGCTTGGTGGCAGATCTGCGAGAATGGACGCATTACAGTGGCTTGCGAGTATCAAGGTCGGCGAACGGCGCGAGGACAGCGCTTCCGGACCAGAAAGTAGAGTAAGTTCAGGAGAACGAGGATTGGAGCGCGACGAGAGCGTTCCACCGGGTCAGAAGAGGAAACGGAGCGGGAGTCGTGTTGTGGATGGAGATGGCACGCAAAGCTTGCAAGATGAGCAAGTAAATTCATTGGTTCTCCTTGCTGCTACTGATCTCGGTGCGTAGAATTACATCTGCGCTAACAAAACTGCAGACATCCAAAATAAAACTTGAAAAGGTTCTTTTCATTTCTCTTAGCGCGTACGTTTACTTACTTGATATTCGTAGCACGACCTCACCAAGCGACGTACATGTACCCTTGGTTTGCATGGGCCATGGGGCGAGTCATCTTCTGTCAGCGTATTCATACGCATTTCTTTCCGATTTCCTAAGACATACCCTCAATCTGGCGTACCTGACATTGATCTTGAGCGAAACCCCCTAGTTTCAATGCAAAGTCGCGCATTCATGCTGAGGCGGTTGAAAGGTATTCGAGAAAGAAGAAGACCGTGTCTTGAAGCCTGTCTGAGATTCTTACTTTTCGGGGATGAAGACGAGAGAGTTGGCATTCCGAGAGGAATTGACTCGGAGTCATCCAACGAGGAGGAAGAGGATAGTGCACGGAAGGAAGAGGGAGGGAGAAAGTCAAGGGATTTTACGGTTTCGTTGTTGAGAAATAACAAAAATCTTGCAGAACCCAGGACTTCACAAGGTGTCTTTGGGCCAAACGGTCGGTACCTTTCTAAGTCATTTTCAGTGTACGTTAAAGGTCAGATTAGGTGAACTGGTATGTTTCTTCCGTGCGCCGCCCCGGATAGTACGCAATCCCATGAACGAGATGTCGGCTTCTCCGGTCACGACTCCAGCATCACGTTCGTCTCCTTCTGCTCAGAGGTTGTTCCAACCACCATCATTGCTCTCTGATGCGGTTCGACGGCTTGATATGGCTGCGATAGATCGTGACAGGCTGCTGGACTCCCTTCCACGCTCATCTGGCGATAATGACACGACCATGCGCATAATGACCAACCTCCTTACCTTTTCACACCGCCATCATCACAAACGACACGAATCAATGACCACTCCAGCCAGTTCCCTTCCAACAGCGAACCCAAGTTATGCCAAGGTGCCGGTCCTTACACGAAGAAGCACGGTGCTCATCGAAGGTCCAACTGATACCGCATTTGCCCAGCGGAAAGTCGCAGAGGCATATGTATTTGGGCACGACGGCGAGAGTGTAGGTGCTATATGCGAAGCAAACGCAAAAATCGCGCACGAACATGGGCAGTGGAGTCATGAACGAGTATGGAGGATACTGAGAGGCCTGTTCCCCGCATCAGTGACCAAGGGTGCAGGTCCAAGCAAGATTGCGCGGAAAATTATTGATTCGCTGTATGTTTTTGTCCTATGCAGTATTTCAAGCGTTAACTTTGGATTTCCACAGGTACAAGGAGTACTGTGCAAGCCATGACGTGCAGATGCTTGCAATGCTTGGTATAATTCTACTCCGAGCCTTCGCATCGCTTCCTGATACTGGCAAGCCTTTTTTATTCGCTCGTCGGAGCATTCTCTCTGATGATATCACAGTGCCAAATACACCCTCTGCAAATGACCCGTCGTCAATTTCACCAACCCCTGAGGAAGATTACTTCTCTTTTGTGCGGCGGAAAGGCCCGCGTGCGGCAGCCCTCTCTCCCGGCTGGCCGCGGCTCTCATCGACATCTCCCACAGCTCCGCCCCTTATGGCTTCGTCGCTCTCGATGTCTAACACCTCCCGTGGTTCGTGGTCAAGCCTGTTCAATACTGGCAGCATGCGACAGTTTATGTCCGGTGTGCAGGAAAGTATCTCGACGCCTCTATCGATAGATACCCTTCAAATTCCGACGAGGACCCCAATGTCTACACCTCTACCGTTGCCTGGGAGCGAAAGTGCGGGTTCTGTGGTACTGAGGCTACCCAATCTGGACGCACCAAGACGAGGCAAAACGTCGACGTTGATGTCACCAGTTTCAAAATCGTGGTCAGATACATCTGTCTTGTCAACACTTGCGCCTGCAGTACCCCTTTCACCTTCGGTACGTGGGCGTCGACCGACTTTTTCGCAGGTTATCAGCCCAAAGCAAGTAATCCAAGAAAAGAGGTTGGTCATAGAAGAAGAACTTGTTGAAGAAAAGTACACGATTTGTTTTTGCTTAGTGTGCGGATCTTCACTTATCACAATCATTTAGGCCAGTCGCATACGACCAACAGATTCTTGCTCAGTATAAGTGTCATGTTCTTGCATATGCGGAGATGCTCTTTAGATGGCAGCTTCTAAACAAGCGACTTGAACTGCTGAAGAGTGCCAAAATAACCGTATTTCATGCTAATAACCGAGAGGCTACCTTCGGTACGCAGCGAAACGAAAGATATGTATCAACTGACAACTTTCAGTAGATGTGCAGCACGCCTGTGGGAAATGCAATCGCGCTCTTGACCCCCACACATCATGTTGTGGAGTAAGGACTCTTAAACCGCGGTGCTCTTTGTGTCGTTTGCCTGTGAAAGGTAGTGCAACGTGACACTCATTGATGATGTTGACTCACGCTAGGCGTTCAGGCCTCTCACGCACCTGTGGAAATTGTCTCCATGTCACCCATTTGGGATGTTGGCGAGATGCTACGTCAAATGTGTGCGGCTCTGGTTGTGGATGTCGGTGTAGAGGAGAACTGCGTCCTGATCTACGGGCATCCATGGTACCATCCTCGAAACCTGCACCTTCTGCATTGTCGAGGTAGAATCAAATATACCTTATTCCGGAGCGCTCGAGTGCTTTCTGAGTGGTCATTTAACGTTTAGCCCTTCCTGGCTTGGGAATAATGAATAGTTGTATCGTTGGAATGGCATTCTTGACCGCTAGCTAATACAAGCAATCCGTTCACCTTGGCATGAATTACAATAAGAGATATTCCCTGGAGGGCGATAAGCGGGTTTTTCCGTGTCATTCTCGCATGCACCGCGAGCTTTATTCAGCATCGGATGTTCCAATATGTGGTCACGTTTTATTGCCAATGCCGAATTTTTTGTGTTATCGTTGTGGTTCACTGATAATAGTGATGTCCTGCGCTCCCGTCTCATTGCTGTGGGTTCCACCGAGACTATACCAAACGCAGGAATCGTTCAACGATAGCTTTTCGATGGGTTACTAAAGTACAAATGGCTACTAGAAATCCCTGAGTACGAAACAATCATGTAAATACTGCACTACTACTTATAATCTACATACCCTTGAGGTTTGACTGAAGTTGGGCGACGTGCTGATCATTGCGAGAGAGTTGCCAGTAAATCTTTGTTTCTTGGAATGAATCTGCACTCAAATGGTTTAGGGTGGCTTCCAGGTGTGTAAGAATGCGTTTCAGGCTAATAGAGAGACGAGTTACCAGAGTACACCAACATTCTCGAACTCTACAGGAGGTGTGATCTCTTCCCCTCTCGCATCCAACGGTTTGGCGATCGTGAACGCAGCAAGGATATAAGAAATATTGAGGTACAACGAGGCTTCGACAAGATGCAACCCTGGAATAAGATCCCATCATTCAGTGGCGGCTTGGATAGTGTCGTGTAAAGGATGCGCACCAGGGCATCTGCGGCGCCCGAACCCAAAAATGAACTTGCGTGGGTCCACTTGAGGGGAGGAACCGAGGAAGCGTTCAGGCCTGAATTCCAATGGGTTGGGGTACATTTTTTCATCCCGTGATATGGAAAAAATGTTCGCGATGACGGTTGCACCCTCTGGTATGCGGTACCCTTCGTAGACATCTTCCTTCATCGCGCGGTGCAAGAGCCCTGCGTCGCTGAGTGAGCAGGAACTAGGACAATATATATATATGTATGGCTGACCTTGTGGAGCCACAGGTGCCCAGCGAAGGAGCTCTTGGACGAGGGCTCCGATATACGGAAGCTTGTCTCTGTCGTTGAACGCGGGAAATCGGTCCTGACCCACGATGGAATCGATCTCTGCCTGCGCATGCTTCTGCACCTCTGGATAATGTAGCATCGCCAGGATAAAAGACGTCAAAGATGATGATGTCTGCTCATTGTTTCAAAGTCACACGAGGGAAGGTGCAAAAGATATCTTACAGTGTCGACTCCCCCTGCAGAGATCCCCTGACTGCACCACTTGGCAATATCTTCTTGTTGGGCACTGGCCGTGGACCCGTCCTCTGGAAGGAGCTGTTCTGAAACGAAGGAATGCGTGTAACTGCCGCTGTGCTGGTCGGCGATGAGAATTAGTTGGGATCCTGGATAACAGGAACTCGCAAGACTGCTTAGGAAAACTTACTATTTGTTGTTTGGCCCAGTTAAATAATGTTGTGTCAATCTTACTTAACTTTTGCCTGGCGTCAAAGGCTACACGCTTGAAACCTGCCCCTGGAAACCATGAAGGTAGGAAACGCACTCATGGAAGGTCAGCTAGCGATTTTTATAAAAAAATTCAGGAGGACCTACATGATGGTATCGCTTCGACCAACCAACGTCCAGGCTGGGATAGTATGGCAATGATTTCCTTGCCTTCTTGCAGGATACCGATGAAATAATCGTTATTCTCGGTGACCTTCCAACCATATGCGACATTAAGGACAACGGCTCCTACGTTCCTGTACCTTCGATCAGAAACCAAAACTAGCAATCGCAAGTATTTTACCTTCTGATATTCTCGGCGAAATGCTTGGGGTTCTTGTACAAATCACCAAGTAGCATACGAGATTGTTCGGTTTGCAGCGACTGATAGTTTTGTATAGTGTGGGAATTCAGACTGGCTTTGAGGGCTGTGCGATACGTCTTGAAATACGGGTGAGTGAAAGGCATGTTGAACTGGATCATGTTGCGCTTCGCAAGTGTGTACATCCATAATCTTGGACGATCAGAATATGTAGTGGCGCGTGAATCGAGTAATTCAGTAGCCGATTGTAGAGAGCTGAGGACAATGAACTCCCGGTTAGGCACGCGGAATGAGAATATGGGTCCTAATACGAGACATGGGTCAGAAGTGTCGTAGCAAGCGGAAAATTGGACAATGTGCACCATATGTTTCAGCCCACATGGCATACATCAGCCAAGTGTTTTCCTTTGGCAGTTGATGAGCATTTCCGGTAAAGAACTTTGGACGTGGTCCAGGGGGTAGTGGCAATCTACTGTGTCGACGGCTGTAGAAGAGAACTGTGGCCAGTGCAGCCACGAAGAATATGAGTATACCAGAAGACATGTAACAGATAATAGTTGGATCGACTTTGCAGTTTCAAGTTGCGCTCTGACTCGGAGTTCTTATATCAATTGTCCTGAGCAAATGTCACCAATCTAGTTGAATAGTTACACTTCCGAAACATCGCATCGCGAGCGCGGGAAGCTTTCCAGTCAGGCCCCTTTGGAAAAGATGTGAGATAGATGAATCCCCGGAGTCCTTGTCGTCGTGGCAGGTCATTTAGGAATTATGTAAATTTAAAGTAACCTCCGGATCCGTTGAGCCTTAACCTTTATCCATACTAGTTCTCGGATAATGCCGTTTACCCCACTGTCAGTGCTGGACAGTGGAGACACCACATTCCCTTGATATACTAAAGGCTAGTACGAGACCTGATGCATGCCAATGTCTGAAGCTTCCTACCCACTAGTTCTTCCAATCGCAGACTACCTACCGGTGGGTTATCGTTAGTGTGCGGCTGGCCGGTCATCGGACGCGGTTGCAGTCGCGCGACAGACCCTTTACTAGGTATATAGGCTCAGTGGTATAATCTTAAACAGCCTGAGAACTAGAAGGTCGGCGCGCGGTTGGGGTGGCTAGCCCTCCGACGAAAACTTTCGTAGGTTTGAAACCGCTGCCATCCCTGCCATCCTAGCGCTCTTCTTACTCGGCGAAAGTTTTCGTCGGAGGGCTAGCTACCCCAACCGCGCGCCGACCTTCTAGTTCTCAGTGGCACTCTAGCTAACAGACCCTTATCATCATTCACTGCAATGACTTTCAGTTCGAGACGGTGTGGAAACAGTGACCTACATCTCGCAATGCCAAGTGACCCATTGGGTTCATCAGCTTGGACCAGATCTATTCTCATTCACAGGGCGGGGTCCGTAAAACATACAAGACATACCGTGGGTCAACGGAGTCATCAAATAGTAAGCCCAAGATGCCTGCCATGATATATATACTGACAAAGAACAGATTCTGATCAGCGTAACAGTTTGGATTCTGGAGACTTGAAGGATGAGTTGAAACATTTTTCAGTGTTCGTATCGCGAGAATGTTAATATTCTCAGTTGTATCAAGTGACATCCAGTAATCTAAAGTAAGGAATCTCGCCCCAGAAAGACAAGTACAAGCGGAGTCGCGAACTTGGCAACCGCGTGAGTGGCGAACGTTACCGATTGTATACCGTCTACGTTTGCCGTTTGTTTTGCCGCTGCCATACGTCTACGGTCCCAGACACGAAGATCGATAATCTCAAGCGATGCAACACGAGCCTGTGATCGCCAACTTCGGTAAGTCATGCGAGCATCACATACTGTGACACGAGTGCGGGTGGCAAAGTTTCATTTGCCGCCCTCTCCGCGTTACTGGGTGCATGAGATCATTGAGATGTATGCACAGACCTGGTGGCGCTAATCACGTGATGTTTGTTGGTCGCATCAGATAAAATTCATTCTAAATCTGGTAAATTGTCACTGTTCGGCTTCCAGAGTCCTCCCCGGCCTACTTTTTACATAAATAGATCCTTGAAAGCTTGAAACTTCAGATCTTCAGACCTCTGACTGCCCGTGTGTCCTTTATCAACTGTTGTAACAATGTCACCTCCTGCACAAAGTCGTGTTTTGCTAGCATACTCTGGCGGTCTTGGTAAGTTGATCTGCACGGGGGAGATTATCATTAAATCTCAAGATCTGCAGACACTTCATGCATCTTGGCATGGCTGATCGAGCAGGGCTATGAGGTTTACGCCTTCATGGCTGACGTCGGTCAGGAGGAGGTGCTAATATCTTCTGTAATCCGCTGCTGGTAGCTGACTATTTGTACAGGATTTCGAAGCAGCTAGAAAGAAGGCACTCAGTGTTGGTGCAAAGAAATTCTTCGTGGAGGTTTGAGATTCTTCCAGTGTTGACCTTGCTGCGTTTGTCGCTCATAAACTTGCAGGACCTGAAGCGTGAATTTGTAACGCAGTTGATCTACCCTGCTGTACAAGCAAACTGCATCTACGAGGTAAGTGCCATCCTCTGACAGCTATCATGAGCTGATCGCCATCGCAGAATGTATATCTACTTGGAACTTCTCTCGCCCGTCCTGTTATCGCTCGTGGTATGATATCCGTTGCAGACAAAGAGGGTTGCGAGTAAGCCTCGCCTTTATCTTCCACTCACCTGAGCTCATCGGACTTCTGACAGCTATGTATCACATGGCTGCACAGGCAAAGGGAATGACCAGGTTCGCTTTGAACTTGCTTTCTATGGTCTCAAGCCAGATATCAAGGTCATCGCTCCTTGGAGGCTTCCCGGTGAGTCAATTTTCCGAACCTACAAAACCTTTTTCCTAATCCCCAACATCCAGAATTTTACAACCGTTTCCCTGGCCGACAAGCACTACTTGCATACGCGGCGGAGAAGGGAATTCCCGTACAACAGACTGCCGCAAAACCATGGTCGACCGACGAGAACCTCTTCCATATCTCCTATGAGGCAGGAATCCTCGAGGATCCAAACACCACACCCCCCGATGACATGTGGAAACTCACCGCATCCCTCAAAGATGCACCAGCGGAGCCTGAACAGCTGTCGATCGAGTTCAAGGCTGGTCTTCCCATAAAGGTTGTAATTGCTAACCAGGCCCCTATCACTGATCCCGTCGATATTTTCCTCGCACTCAATGCTGTCGCGAGGAAGCATGGAGTCGGCCGTA